CTATTTTAAATTTTAGATACTATCTTAAAGTAGTAGATGAGTGTACCATTATTCTCCTTGCTTGTAATGTTTCCACTGCAAAATTCCACTCCCAAAATGCGCCCTCTTTGCAGGTTAAAGACTAACTGTGCCAGGGCTCCAAAAATCTTTTAGCTTCTTTCTGCCACAGAAGTTTTGGTAGCTTTCTGTTTTGTCGAAAAGCAGAGGTATTTCACTTCTTTTTGAGTAGTGGCAGGGGATGGTGCTGGCAAGGAGAGGGGAGTGAGGCTGGAAAGGAAGATTGCAGAGCAGTGAAATTCCCTCCATCCTCCCCACTCCCAAGTTAGAGCTTATTTGAAATCGGTACTTTCTCTTACCATTTCATTCGTAGCAGTTGGCAATTTTAGTATCCCAGAGAACATTTCTTGGTCATTGGAGGGAACAGGTAACGAGAGGATCCCTAATAGCTGACTTCCTGGAATTGGTGGAGCAGCAAAGCGGGTCACTAGCAGGCAGCTGAGCAATTCAAACCACATCAGCTTTGCTTTTGTGATACAAAAGGTATGCATTGCAAGGCTGTTTAGTACTTTACTTTTTTCATTTTTACAAGATTTTTATATTTTAATTTGTATATATTTTTTGAAGTTTAAAGATAGACCCTCCTTTAGATATGTATGCTTTTCTGAATGTGTTTCCTGGATGAAGAAGAAAATGTGTCACCAGATACAACAAGGAATCTAGTACTTAAAAAATTGCTGTACTTGGAGAACTATTTTGTTATTGATTGATTGATTAAAATGGAAATAATGCTTAGCTAATATTGTTAAACTTAAACCTTACTAAGCTTTAAATTTGCTCCAAGGACTTTCCTTATCTTCTAGCGACATATTCATGATAGCTTTTTATGTGAGCACAGAGAAGACACCTTTTGGCACAGATATATGGGCAACAAGACAGATTTTCTGCTTAATCAAACCAAAATAATCTCCTAATGCTGTGTTAGGATCTGGCCTGTGGCATGAATGAGAAAGTGGTATCGCTAAATGTCACAATATTGATTACAATTATTACCTTTAAGAAAGGGTCATATAAGATGTGTAGGGCTCTGTGAACTCAGTGGTGTGAACGGTTCTTGATGAGATTAGTGATAAAGATGTCAAGACAGCAAGAGCTGTGAGATTATGTAGTATGCTTACGGGGCACTGTTCGACAAACAGATTTTGAAGTAGTCTCATAGTAACCGTTACAGAGGGCTAGTTAGTTTTTGGGTAGAATACGGTTTGGAAGAAAGGATGTGATTATTAATTTCTTCCATGTTCTGAATGTAAAGAGAGGATTGGCATTCGGCTTTGAGGAAAATTCAGTAAACTTGAAAGACAAATGCTTTTCATATATTTGTAGTGTTGCTGGAAAAGAAACTTGTAGGTATATGGGGAGAGTTAGAGCTTTCTGCCATGCAGAAAACTATAATGTTGTGTTTATGATGATGTGTTTATGATTGAGTTAATCTCAATTTAAAATTTTGAAGTTGTCAGTAAGAATTTAATTGGATTAAATATTCTTAAATAAGAGTGGGAAGGAAAAATGGCAATGATTAAATTTAAAGAATTAGGAATATTTCTTTAGATTCTGCGGTGCTTTTAGATGACCTCAGTCTCACTGGCACTCAGTCTCTAAGGCACGTAGCTAGGACTTTATACCAGCCTTGGCAAATTTCAGTTATACAGGTTGTACTTTCTGCAGCACAAGCCACCTTCAAAATTGATTAAGAACATTCAAATAACTGAAGAGCCATTTTACAAAACGCGGTTTTAATGAAGTAGCGAATCTGACAGCAGACAAGAGTTTCTTTCATGCTGCCCTCCCGTTTAATCCCCTACAAAACAAGGCTCTGGTAAGGTTGCTGCAGACAGACACGTGCCGCGGCTGCGGAGCAGCGGTTCCAGCAGGACGCCGTGGAGGAGCTGTACGTACAGTGCCAGACCAGCGGCGTGGGTTGAGACCGAGCAGAGGGTAGTGCTGGAAATGGGCGTAGATCCGCGCTTAGTTTCTGTGTAGGTGCGACCCCGCGAGTCTCGGCTGGTGTTGCTAATTAAGCTACGTAACTTTGGCATATGTCGTTCAGAGTCTTCCTCTGGATAATGAACAGGTAATCCCAACAGTCTTGCAGGTAGTAAAAGGATTTCTGTAGTTTCAGTGTGGTGTTCGTACTGACAGTTGGTGGAAGCGGCTTAATAAACTGCATAAGCAATTGGCATGCACTGCAAACTTCAGTTTTACTCTCTGAATCTTAAAAGCATTAGATGTTTCTTCCAATTTAATATCTGCATAATGGATATGGATGGCAGGATATGCTGCTGCCAGGCAGCTCTCAGCAGCCTCTAACAGGCTAGCGTAGAATTCCAGAGCAACGGTGTTTTTCCACTCATGTTATCCGTCTTGTGCCAAATATGCTGAGCCTCAGTTTTTGCACAAGGCACTAATAAAAGTTGTGCTTCGGTCCTGTTTTTCCCCAGCTCTGCGCTCCGTGGTTCGGGCCTGGGGGTGGAACAGGCGGTGTGCGAACGCGATGTGACTCACCTCCTCCTGCCCCCCTGCTCCCGTCCTCGCTGGCTCTCGCCCTGCTGTAGCAGTGTGGCAGAGGAGTCCTCCAGCCTGCCTCTCCCTCTCCTCTCTTTCTTTTTTAGTTTTTTAAAAAAATCCTTTCACTGACGTTCCTCCCGTTGTAAAGAGCAAGATGGAAACATATTCTTGGGCCATTGCTGCTGATTTCTTCTGGTTAGGGAATCGGTAGAAGAGCACCATTATCACTGAATTTCATACAGGCAGCTGTGGAAGACAAAAACTGCCTTCCTGTTCACGCCGGGTACAGTAATTCTTTAGCCTCCTGCGCAGTGTACGTGCAGTCCATTTTTTGGCAGGTATTCCATAGGCATGTTGCGTTATTTCCTCTCCTACTTTGCTCAGTTCTCCTCTCCTCCCCCTCGGGTTACTCTCTGGAAATGTTTTTTTCAGCTCTTGTATCTGCTTGCTGAGATGGCACTTTGTTTTGCATGTTAACATGGTTGATCTTTTCAGAAAGCAATTTTAAGTGGTTGTTCGGTTACTTTGTATACGAATGAGCTGATAGACACAGGCTATTTAAAACTATGTATAATATCGGAATTAGAAAAATGCCTTCTACACTCCTATTATTTTCTCCTTGTTGTAGAAGGGAACAAACAATTTACAGCTTTTAGGCTCTGACAGCTTTTAGCACTTTTCTGGATGCAGTGTAAAACAGTTCCTTCGTGCTGCCGTCCATTACCAACCCCCTGAATTTTCAGTGAGGTTGGGCCTGTGTTTCTGTTGTCGTCAGAACTGAGTGTGCATCCCCAGCCGGGGCTGTGGGGTTTGTAGAAGCCAGGCAGTCCACCTTCTGTACACCTCTGAGGCGCTGAATTCAGTCTTTTGCAAACAGGTGAGTCATGTGAGCTCACGCATTTCAACCTTATGAAACAGGGGTGGGTTTTTTGTTGCTTGTGTGTTTTATTTGGCTTTTTAAAGTTCCAGTTCTCAAATCTGCCAATTTGGGACTTTGCACCTTTTGTTATCTTCTTCTGGGCTAGAGGTACACATTCAGTGTGTGAGGCTCTGCAGTTTTAACTCATCATAAGCAAGACACTCGGAATCAAAAGTCTACAGTATGTCCACAAGAACTATGTAGACAACAGATGTTTTGTTGGCTCAGAATTTCATAATCCTGTGTGAAAGAAATTTGAGGGGAAAAATTGTTTCAGTTGCTTGTAAATAGCTGGAATTTTTTTTCCTCCATGTCTCTGTTTTGTACTGTGTCTTAATACTAATGCTTCAAAGCAAAAATCAAAACATTTGATATTGTCAGAATGGGTTTTTTTTCCTTTTCCTTTCTGTGTAAATGGAACTGCTTGGGGCAGCCCACTGTCAGCACCTGGCTCTGGTAGAGGTTTCCTCACCACTTCTGTTTCCACTAGAGCTTTCTCAGTTGAGCCCCTACATCTGTTGACTTCATTGTCCTCTTCCAAAGCCAACCTTGTCATGTAACTGTTTCAGAGTATGCGTATGCTCTTGATCAAGGGGGCTTAAGTATATATCTAAATCTTTTTAAAGCTGTACTAATTTGAGGGTGGTTGGAGTGTAGGAAAAAATGTCCATTTTCTGTCATGCCCACAAAAGGTAAAAAAAGTATTGTGGTGGTTTTTCCCTTGTCCACACTAAAGTATAATATGAACATAAATTGTGAGCCCTTATTACCCATGTGGCGACATGGTATCTTACCCTGCAGGACACCTGGTCAGCTCTTAAGTCTGTTGAGTTACTCTTTAGAGAGACACAATGGCTACTAGGAGAAGAAGCTTTTAAAAATAATTTCAAACTTTCATGGAAGCTATAATGTAATAGGAAGTCTTTAAGCTGGAAGAAATATATCTGTGCCATTTCCTTCCCGTATAGGTAGCCCTATCTGATTTTCTTTCAGGTGACAATAATATTGAACAGAATGCCCTTCCTGTTCCCCGCTTTGCACTCAGACTGGCTATCTCTCCACTCAGTTTTGATGCCTGGTACAAAATGGCATCCCCATTGCCTTGAAGTCAGCCCCAAGGCATCAACCTGAAGTCTTTTTTCATCACTGTTTAGGAATAGTGCGCATTTGAAGGAATCAGAAACTCTGGAGTCTGAATCCTCACGTGTCTCAAGTGAATATAGGTTAATGAGGTCTTGCAGCGGTTTGTGAATGGGCTGAATTTTGGTGGGTGGGTTTCTGCAAGGACAGCAAGGTCATCCTGCTGGGCAGCAGTACTGACTGCTCTGTGGCCTATTTTGACACAGTGCCCATTAGATAACACCAATATTTAAAATTCCAAAAAGAGAAATCCCACTAAGCTTCTGAGCAGTTCTTTATTTACATTAAATAAATGTAACTTTAAGTGTTATTATCTTCTCTAATATGTGCAGCTAAATAACTGTCATCATTTCTGTTTATGTTTTTGTTTATTTGGTAGAAAAGAGTGGTGGAACAGCTTCGAAAGAATTTGATAGTGAAGCAGGAACAGCCAGACAGTAAGTTTCAAATACAGCCGTTGGCACAGTCAGAAAACAAACTACAGACACCACAGCCGCAACCACTACAACAGCTACAGCAACATCACCATCAACAGCAGCAGCAGTCTACTGCACCCTCTCCAAACGTGATTGGATCACAGGTAAAAATCTCTACAATAATTATTTTCCTTGCTAAAGGTGAAGTTCACTAAAAAAAAAAAAAAAAGAAAAGTGCAGAGAGAAAATTGCAGACTTTCACTTACACCTGTTAGTGTACCAATATGAATTTCTCCTTCTATGCACATGCAGATATGGGTCTTGTGGGTTTTTTTGGCAATAACCTCCTATCTGAGTCAAAAAGATTACGTGGTTCTTACAAGTTGAATCATAACCTCACAGAAAAGAAGGGTGGCAGTATCACCTTTCTTAAAAATAAATGGAAGTTTAGCAAATGAACCTCATCTTTTCCATAGGTGCATGAATGATGGTCTGTCCATACCCGGTAGGTCTCAAGAAACAGTAAAGCCTTTACACACACTGTATGAGGTATATGATTAAAATACTTTATTTGTAAAAGACTAACACAGTGCCCACTGTATCTGTGAACAAAATGTAAGAAAACAGTTCCCTCCTCTTTCTGCTTGGTTCTTTTTAAACAGATGTAACTCATATCAAGTAATATTTACCTGAGTTTGCAAGGATTCATTTAAAAGTGTACAATGTTAATTGCAAAGTTCAAGTTTTAGAAAGTAATGTCTTTATTGGGAAGGTACACTGAATTTCAGTACAGTATAGGATTAGAGACGTAATCCCAGAACTCACCAGATAAAGTGCTCTGCCTCTACTGAGAGGGAAATTGCAAGTTTCTCCTGTTCAAATATTTCGAATCCCCAAAGCGTGCTAATAAAACAGCTAGAAAGTGCACGGAGGTGTTTTGTAAAAAGAAATGTGTGTGAGGTCTTTTAACCTGTTGATGCAATCTCAGCAGCTCATGTTTACCTGGATAGGCAGATGGCAGAATTCACCTGTGAAGTTTACTTTATGCACATTGCAGTAAATCACAACCATAGCTTTGACTGATTGTGATTCTTGTCTTCCCTTTTCCTGGAAGTAGAGGAGAGAGAAATGGTTGGGCTGTTAGTTCTCTTATTTAACTCAGCAAATTGTTTGGGATGCCCTCTAAAAATATATTTGTGAGGCTTAGGTAATTGTATTTTTCAGAAAAGAATATTGAAGAAATGAAGCAAACTTAACTTAAGGAAAAGACATTTCTGAGCAGCAACATCAGTATCAAAGCTAAAACAGAACAAAGAAATAAATATTACTGTGTCCTAAAATATTTATAGGCAAACAATGGCTCACTCTTTGCTGTATCGCTGATCTCTGTTTTCTCAGTCAGGAAACATGACTGCAGAAGCAGTTTCATGTGTTTCTCCATATTCCAGACTTTGCATTCATGCATTAACTTCCAGGTCATCTCCTAGGTTGTAAAAATTGAGGTTTTGTTCAAAGTTAAAGAGCCCTCTAGTGAAACAGTCAAAAAACTGCTACACCCTTTTGACTACCATTGATACAGTTGTACTTGGAAAGTACTTACAAACTGAAAGGCAGGTCATCCTCTCATTTGAATAAATAAGCCAGCTTTTATCCTTAACACTTTTCTACTTTTGTTTATGTTGGTGTAATTCTGAAGTAACCTCACTTGCTTCTGTATACATTTCACATCTAAGGTTGCGCCTCTGTCCTGTTGCCCCTCAATCTCTTTCAGCAAAGAGAAGCCAAATATTTTGTCTCTCTGGAAAGTTTTTTGGTGCCTACTTTTGCAAGTAATGCATCTTTCAAGTCTGTGTCAGTAAAGAGAATGCTTTCAATGGTTATTTTCAGAGTAATTAAATTTAGGAATCAAGGTATATATGCTGCCTTAATCGTGACATTTTAATATACTTAATATAGTCCAGTAAGAAGGGCTTTTTAAATTTTCATAAAGCACCAAGTCTGCTAAAAGGTCATATTATTGCCATGTTATTATGTGAAATAATGCAGACTTACTACAAATGCCACTTCAGTATGAATTCATGCATTGAAAACTTTTTAGAATAACCAAGGTAATTAATGCTCAGCAAAGTAACAGGGATATTCAAGCTCTGTGATCTGCTCACTGAAACTATACTCTCAGTACTTACAGACTTACTAGAACCCCTTGAAAGAGTCACAGTCTTGTATTACATGATTGATTACACTTTTCTTTAAAATGTTTACGGATGAATGTAATGCTTGTGAAAATTATACCATGTTACATCTCATTGGAAAAGCTTGAATAATGTTACTGCATTAGAGAAATGGAGCCTTTTGCTTTGGAGAAAGTGCAGCAGAGGTCGATAAGTTCTTGAATCTCAAAGTTAAGGGAATTGTTCATGTTGCAACAAGGAAAAGTTAATTATGTCTGGATTTTGTATAAATGTATAAAACTGAAGCATGAATTATCCTTTGATTTGGCATTATACAGTGTTTGAATTTTTTTCCACACTTATGCATAATTAACAGGGAATATAGTTTTAAGCATTATGAAATAAGAGGTGTGAAGGTAAAATGCGTTTTTGTTTAAGGAAATAATATTGGTGAAAATACTGAAGAATCCAACTGGAAATGTATTTATATTATTTTATTAGAAAGAAGAGAAAGGTCTTGTGTGACTAAAATCAAGCAGTCTAAATGAAGCGTGTTCAGAATGTGAAAAAGACTGCCTGATCCCTGGTTCTCCATTTTTTCCTGCTGTAGAGCCTAGTGCTGACATCAGGAGGGAATGGTGGTTATTTTGCACTGAGAGCATCTGATTGTGCCAATAACTGTTTTGAAGATGCAGTGCCATTGGTACAACGGATTTTTTACACCAAAAAGAAAAGAAATAAGCTCACTTGCCATTCCGTTGAGTGTCATTTGTTGTGAGTTTTCTGTGCACACTGTGTTCTGGTTTTATATGGAGACTCTCTTGCCTTGTTGCTTTTTGAATGAGATTCATAATTGTCCATTTCCCTTAACATCTTAGAAGACAGTACATTTTAAAACAAAACTATGAAATTATAGTTGTTTTAACTTTGGAATTTGTGGGCATAGTGTGTTCAGGCATTTCAGATAAATGCTGGCATTAAGTGATTCAAAACCACTCTCATTAAAACAGGCCAAGAGCAATCATGGCATCACATATATGTTCCAAAACCAGCCCATTGCACGGAAGTTAAACTTAATTGCCTGCAGCTGGACAGACTAGCAGCCAGCTCATACAACTTCAGGATAGCCCTACTGATATTCTTAGGAAAGAAAGCTAAGGGCTAAATAACTGTATGTATGGCTAAAACTGAAATTTGGGATACCCAAAATCAAAATATGTTTTTATTCTTAAAGAAACCAATTTATGAATGTTTTTTTCCCCTCTTCCTCTGATTGTGAGGATCTCTGTAAATGAAGTTTCCATTTGAAAAATTGAGTTTTAATTGAGAAGCTAATTTGCTGGTATGTTTCATAAACCTCCACCTTACAGGTTTGATATTGACAGTACATGTTTGGAAGTAATATAAAACTAAAAGATCCAGAAATGCATATGCCACTACTAACACTTGATTGTCATTTTGTCAGGAATTTGTTTTGGATCAATCTGTAATGCTGCAGGTGATTGAAATAGACCCAAAAGGTGCCTCAAATGAGAATCCTTTCTAGCTATCCAGTTTTCAGAGACATAAGATAATGTGCTTGTCTGAACAGTAGGTAGATAGACTCAGTGCTGCCTTTTCTTTCTCTTACTGTCTATTGTTTCTGACTAACCAACCCACGTCCTGTCTGATATGAAGTGTCTCTGTCTCTTACAGTGTGTTTTCTGTTTCCCTTAGAAAACTGTAACTACAGCTTCTATGATCACCACTAAGACACTACCTCTCGTCTTGAAAGCAGCAACTGCGACCATGCCTGCCTCTGTTGTGGGTCAGAGACCTACCATTGCCATGGTTACTGCTATCAACAACAATCAGAAAGCAGTCCTCAGCACTGATGCGCAGAATGCACCAGTCAACCTCCAGACAACAAATAAGGTCACTGGGCCAGGAGCTGAGGCGGTCCAAATAGTGGCAAAAAACACAGTAACTTTGGTAAGCGTTCCATGTGTTTGCCCTGCAGGTATGCGTTGGTTTGGTTTACAAGAGGGCTATTGGGGGGGAAAAAAAAAAAAAAGTCAGTTTTTTGCACAGAAAGGAGAATAGTAGGGACGTGTCGTGAGTCTTCACTAGTTGACATTGTTAAAATGGTAGTCTAAGAGAAAAGCATTTACTATCTACACGGATTGTTACTACTGTTTTGCTTTATAGAATTAAATGAGTGCTATTATGACCTCTGTGTAAAGTTTCCCCTACTAGTAGTTGTTAGTCATGGGGAAGTAATGATTGCTTTGCCCCTACCTAATCTACGTGGCTGTGTTCTGCAGAATTCCGACTCTTTTCTTTGGTAAAGGAGATGTCAGACTTTCTTCATTTGATCAGTTTGGATTTTCATCTTACATATTTTGAGTCAATCTCTCTCGTTCCCTTTGCGTGATAAAAAGTCTCTGGTGTTAGACACATCACTTAACTCTGCCCACTACCATGTCTTTGCTTACCACTTTTTCATACACATACACAGATCCTGTTCTTTAAGTATGTATTTTGGAAAGTGCTTTGATGACATCACACAGTCTTTTCCAGAATGGTTAGCCACCTAGAAATAAAAGAAGCAATGTTTTAAAATTGGGTTATATAGGCTTCTTGGTCTGGAAACCAGTCATTGTATAACATCATGACAGGGAAATTTTACTTTTGGAATAAAGGCTAAGGCTTCACTAAACAAAAATCCAATTTATCTTTATTAAAAAATACAGTTCCATAATGCAAATGGAAGTAAGTTTGCTTCCTGCTGAGGCATATGTTTGCAATCAGAATAGAGAAGACTCTTTGAGTGGAGTTTTTTCTACTGTTCTCTTTTCCCATGTCATTGCTTGCACCACTGTCGTCTGTCCTTTCTGTCTGTGCTTCATTTCTTTGCTGAATAACTTAGGTTTGGGGAGGTGATTTTGTTTTAATAATAGTTCATGATTTATGTTTCTGTAGCAAATTTCATCAAAAATCTCAGAATATTCTCCCAAGCATTAATTAATCAGTACAAGACCTTTTTGAAGTAAATTGCAGTCTTATGTGGGTGGACAGAAGTATAGAAGGGTGGAAACTAACACAGACATTAATTTCAGAGAAGCTCACTGGGTACTCAACTTAGGGTAGCTAGTAGTGCTGTTCAGAGGTTAATTTTGTGGCAGCTCTGTCCAACTGATTTCAGTTAGACAGGGAAGTACTTAGGATGCCTTAAAATCAGATCTTAATTGTTTCAAATGAATGGCCTACTTTTGAAAATTTCAAGTTGTGTATTTAGAGCCCCTCATAGTGTCATTAAGATTGCTAAAAGACTTGTAACTTTCAGTTCTTTTCTGTTTGTGTGAGATGCTCTTTCATTCTTCCCTATGCCATTCAGTATGAAAGGACCATGGTTCATATAGCTGGACATCAAAGTCTGTTATTATTTTCTGTCCGTTGTAAAGCTAATTTTTAACTGTTAAAACAAATAGGAGTTTTCATTATCTTCAGTTGAAATGGTTTTAGATTGCAGTTAGTACAGTTGAACTAAAAGAAAAGATACCTTCAATTTATGAAGCAAGGTGTAGGAACTGGAAAGCAAGATTAGCTCTGTCTTTAAAACATTTCTAATGAGGAACCTGTTACTGTGAAAAACTATTTACAAAGTGGAAAACCAGGGACATCAGGTCTGCAAATACATTGAGGACGTTGATTTTGGTGAACTGCAGAGCTATTTTTCCTCTTCCTGATCTCTTATGTTCTTCTAGCAGGTTCAGGCTACGCCTCAGCCCATAAAAGTGCCGCAGTTCATCCCTCCTCCCAGACTTACTCCTCGTCCAAATTTTCTTCCACAGGTGAGTGTACAGAGAACAAGCAAATAGAAGGAGGAACTTAGTTATAGCATAGATAAGAGAGAGTTTCTATGAACATCATTTCTGTCAGTCTTTATTGGTGACCTGGTAGAGGAGACAATTCATCTTCAAGAGGTTTGCAGATGATGCCAAATTTGAGGGTGCAGTCAATACTCTTGAGGGCAGTGCTGACATTCAGAGGGCCCTAGACAAGACAGAGGAATGGGCCAGCAGGAATGTCTTGAGCTTCAGCACGGAAGAAGGCAAAGTCTTGCACCTGGAATGGACTAGCCCCCTGCATAGGTACAGGCTGGAGGCTGGCTGGCTAGGGAGCAGCACTGCTTAAAAGGTCTTGGTTGACAGTCGCTAAATTGGTGGTGTGCCCTGGCAGCAAAGAAGCCTGGCAGCCTATTGGGCTCTGCTGACAGGACTGCGGCCAGTAGGTTAAGGGAAGAGATTATCCACCTTTCCTCAGCAATCATAAAACTGGATCTGATACACAGCATGCAGTTTTGGACCCCCTGGTTGATAAATTTGAATGAATCCAGGGAAGGAAGGCCTCTAAGATAGCTGGGGTGGGGGCAGAAATATATGACCTGCAAGGGGAGGCTGAGGGTTCGGGGCTTGTTCAGTTTGGAGAAGAGGTTTCGGGGGCACCCTAACAGCAGCCTTATTTCCAATATCAACAAGGAAATTAACAAGAAGATGGAGACAGAGGTGCTTAGCAGGAGAATTATAGACAATGATCAAAAATTGGAACAGGGAAGGTTTAGACCACGTATAAGGAAACAATTCTCTCTTTGAGGACAATTAGGAGTGGAAGAGGCTTCCCAGAGACATTGTGGAAGCTCCGTCCTTGGAGTTCTACAAGACCTATCTGGACAAAGCCCTGAGCAACCTGGTCTGCATTTAGTGTTGGCCCTGCTCTGAGCAGGAGGTTGAATTAGAGACCTCCTGAGCCACCTCCCAACCTGCATGAGTCTGTGATAATGAAATGTGCATATGATGATCATATATGATCCTATTTACATCAAATGAAATGAACCCATGGAACAGGTGTCAAAAAAATCAAAGCATCACACAAGGCCTTAAATTGCTCTAATTGTTGTTTGCTGCCCATGAGTAAAAAAGAAAAAACAATATGTCTCTAGATTGTTCCCAAGTATTTCTGTATTGCGACAGAGAGTGACCTCTGTTTGCAGCTGAGCAGTTAAACTTGTGGTTTACTTTTTTTTTCATGGTTTGGGAAAGACACAGATTGCTTGTTCACTTAAAAAAACATCTTGGAGGAACTTTTTCATTTGTAAGAAATACGTGGTACTGTGAATAAAAGTCTAAATCTTTTACAAAAGAAAAAAGGAAAATATAGGCTGGCATCTGATTAAGATTTGAGGATGGTGAGATCTGTTGGAATGTGACCTAGTTTTCCATGATAAAATGCATTATGGAGTATTAAAGGTAGATAGGACAAAAGGAATCAAATAAGGAAAAAGACTTTATTTTCAGAGTAATGCATTCTACTTCTGTACTCTAATGATGTGATAAGTACAAATTTAACAATGGGAAAGAAATAAGCAAGTATTGGTGGTGGAGTATATGAAGATTCTTGTGGCTCTTTTCTTTCTTGTGAAAGAAGAAAAGAGTAATGACTACATTTACGTGTAGCCTTTAGCACTTTCAATGAGGGATTAATGTATAATCTTGGCAATTTTTTTGCTTAGCAAGATTGGTTGTGCAGGTGTCTAAATAATATATGGAGTTGACAAAGGTAACAGGGATTTGCTGAAAAATTTAATTATTTCTTTCAGGGCACAATCAACTGTTCATGATTTCTTGGAGGCTCAGTATAAAGCCCTGAGACACACTTTTAACATGAGAGCTTCAGCTGTGTCTGTAAATATTACATGAATTTTTTGGCTTGCAAAACCAATATGTTGATTTAGATACAGATAAGGCACTTGGCAATAAACATGCAATATAAGTGTCTATGCATCCAAATACCATTTCGGGGACAGTGACTGCATATGCAAATGTTATGGATGGGTTTTATGCAAGTAGGTTTGAAAATGTGGCTTTTCCTTCTCATAGCATACTTAGGACACTATGCTAAAAATGACATTCTATAAAAAAATCGAGCAACCTTCTGCAGATTATACAGGCTGAATTGAAAGACTTAGTAAAAAAGTTCATCTGAAATACTGATATACAAATCTCTTTCTTTTTCTTTTTTCTTTTTTTTTTTTTTGTAGGTTCGACCTAAACCAGTTGCCCAAAATAACATTCCTATTGCCCCAGCACCTCCTCCAATGCTTGCAGCTCCTCAGCTTATTCAGAGACCTGTGATGTTGACAACAAAGTTCACACCCACCTCTTTACCCAACTCTCAGAACTCCATACATCCAGTTCGTGTAGTTAATGGGCAGACAGCAACCATAGCCAAAACTTTCCCCATGGCACAGCTCACCAGCATCGTGATAGCAGCACCGGGTACCAGGCTCGCTGGACCTCAGACTGTACAGATCAGCAAACCAAACATTGAAAAACAGGTACAGATAAGAAAGTGTCTACTAATGCAATGTACCAGGTTTATTGCTTTACTGTGCCGATTTGGAGGGGATGACAACCATGGAGAAATTTTCAGTGGGTACTGGAGATACTCATGTTCCAACAATAGGACAAATTATGGAATGACTTGCAACTCTTGGGGTAGAAGTTACCATTTTCTTTAATAGGGGCTGTTGGAATCTTTTTCTCATGCTTCAGTGTTTTTATGCTCCCCCTACTGTTTTAACTTCAGTAGTTTATAAGCAAGCTACATCGCAGGACTGTACTAGTATCTTGGAGACCAAGTACAAACTGTAATCCATGTTCATACCAAGCCTTTAGGAAACACTGGAAAAATATTTTCTGTATTTCTGTTTTTCAAAGGGTGGCTACATGAAAGGCAAAAATTACGCAAAATTGTAGGGGTGTTTAATACGATAAATGTAGCCATTTCTTCCTTGATCTTGCCGTCTTGTGATTGGAGGCAAAATAGTCTAACTCAGCTTCTGAAGACTGATAGTTCCCTGTGACGAAATTGGATTGATTGAGTGGAAAGGAGACCCTCAGAAACAGAGAGTTCTAGATGTTTAGTTTTATAGTCTCTCTCCAGAAAAAACTTTTATAAAATAAAACATGACTTTAGTCAGTGTGGATTGCAACTGAGAGTCCTTGCCATTCAGTTCAAGTAAAGCAATCTTCTGTTTCACTTTTAACTCTACCATATATTGTATGTTAGTAATAGTATAATATTGTATACTATATAATACCTTATCTATAACATAATATTTATGTAATTTATATAAATAATAATAGTGTATATTTCATTTGTAACTCTTTCATAGACTAATGTGCCTTTAAGTTACCTTCTGCTTTTGAAGTCACCTATGGAGACTGAAAATCATGTGCATGAAAGATATGCTCATGCTCAGTTCTGCTTATTAATTCTCATGAGTAGGTTCTTGCATACCTCAAGGCTGTGCCACAAGTTACTCAGCAATGAGTGCCCTTTTCGTTTGATTTGGAGTTGTACTTCTACAATACTATATTTTTGATACCTATTCCTTTTGATGTCAGCAATATTTGTTTGCTCTTTGAATAATTACCGGCAATTCAACTGTTGAAAAACATACAGAATTGTGGTGGTTTAGCAATACATGAATTTTTCTGTATATCTTCTCCATATCGTAAACGGGAAAAGTTTGTCTCTCTGTAGCTTTCCTCACTCAGTTTGTAGCCTAAACCGCTATGCCATGGGCTGAGGATTGTCATGCAGGGTTTGGGATACCATTGCAGATGATTATGACTTCAGAAAAGAAAAAAGCTTCAGAAACATCTGAGATTGTAGGAGTCACAGAGACAGTTTTTGAGCCATTCATAATTCTATGAAATATGAAGACTGAGGAGTGAGAAGTACAAAATGCATGTGCCATGCAGAATGGTTTCTATCTGGAAGTCTTCCATGGGATGCTTTTTCTTAAAGGGTCTGTTAGTTCTCCCATACCATATAGTGATTTCTGTAATGGAATTAACTCTTAAGATTACTTTTATTGCTTGCATGGCTGCGTGGGTTAATGGCATGGTGGTAAGGCTGTTTCATCCTTTGTTAAAGGAAAACACTTTATTTAACATTCCTCTCACATCAGATTTGTCAATTAAGTCTTTGTTAGTACACTGCGAGCTTTAAAACTGTTTTTCTCCTGTATCTGCAAAAGTATTTGTTCTGCTTTCTTAGTCAAAGTAAAAAAAGTCATTCTGATCACTGAATGAGAGAAACACTTTCTTTTCAGACTATTAAACCGCACGTGGAAGCAGAAGAGAAGCAAACAGAAAGTCGTACAGTTACTCCACCTGCTGCACCGAAGCCAAAACGAGAAGAAAATCCACAGGTATCAGAACACACCCAGAGCTTTCTTTTAAGAAAAAAAGGAAACACTCTGTCCTTCAGAAAACATTTTTCCCTCTCTGTTCCCTCAAGACTCCCTAACTTTAACATTCCATACATTCTTGTTGAACAGTAGTAGTTGATAAGGCTACAGAATAAGAACTTTAAATAAATATAATGCATTGCATTTTTCAGTCCTGGAATGCATTTGACTTCTGACTCTTTTGTAAGATAGAAGATCATAATTTCCTTCTGATACTTCAACCAGGAGGCTTAGATTACAGTTTTGATTTCCATTCCTTTGAGGTTTTAGACTTCTGGAGTTATTTTTAATGCTGGAGAAATGTCTTTATTTTGTTTTATAAAATATTTCTGCTCTGGTGAGCAATATGGAAAGAGTCATATATGTTCACATTCTGCATGGGTTTTATTCAAGTTTCAGTCCAGTTGGTTTTGGGGGAAAAGACTGGCCAGAATGGCTGTTTCTTAAAGCCTTTCTGCTGTGTAGGGCTTAGGAACTGATTACAGCTAAATGCTCTACTACATTTGTTTTTGTAGGTGGGTTCAAATGGACTACTGTGGAGCATTAACTGTTGTCAGTACAAATTCTGATTTTTACATGTCTGTGCACTTCCTGTGTTAAAATTAGAATCCTTTAAGAAAGCCATAGCTCTTGTCAAATGGCACATGTAAACCAGAGTTGCTACTTGTAGTTCACAGTATATGGAGAATGATCTTCAACTACCAATATTTTGCTGGCAATTGAACTGTGTTGGTATTTACTAAGAGCCAATCATATAATTGGTTCAGTGCTGGCCTGTAAGTAAGAAACCACTTTCTTGTTCCCACCTCTGCCACAGCTCTGTGATCGTGAGCAGTTGGCATTTCCTTGTATCGCAGCCTAGGTTCCCATCTAGAAGATGGGACTGTTGTCTGTCCTCTGTAAAGCGGTTTGACATATATGAATGAAAAGTGATTTATAGAAGCAAAGTATTACCAATAACATTTTTGTTCCGTAGTTACCTGTCAACTGACTTCAAAGGGCCTAAGTGACATAGCTCATCCTAACAGTTGGACTTGTCATGATCTTTTTTTCTCCCCCCTCACAGAAACTTGCCTTCATGGTGTCTCTGGGACTAGTTACTCATGACCATCTGGAAGGTAGGAAAAACGTCTTAAGTTGGTTCTTGAACTCCCTGTTTCATGGCCTTTCTGAATTGAAAGTATGGGTCCAAAATATTTCTGTATTAAATGGAGTATTTTCATGCACAAAAGTACATTTGGGATGTCTGTACTCTTGATCTAACTTAGTTTGTTGTGCATACTTTTTTTATTCCTCTTATTACGTTGAAACAAAGCAATTACTTATGCAGCAGAGATCAGTGGTTGGGAAGAACATGTATGCTCTGATGGTAGGAAAGCAATTTGTGACAATCCCATTGCTTTCTGGACAACCCCTGTATCTGCAAAGTTACACCATGGTTAATTTTACTGTAACCCACATGTGGACTTTTCATTTATTTCATGATGTCACGGGACTGTAATCTGTAGTGAATGAGTTAATAGATTATAATTGGGTTTATAGTTTAATCTCCTTAATCCTATACAGTGAAATACAGCCTAATATTTCAATGGCTTGCATATTTTTGTACTGTGTTTATTTTTAAGTATCAACAAGGTTACCAGAGGCTTTTTGTTTCAAATCCCAATTACACTGACCATGAGTTTAAAACGTCTTAGTCGTGGAGTACTTGGCGAGAAGATGGCAGTCATTTCATTAGTTAGTTGAGCACTGCGTTTGTATTCCTTGTCAGCTCTTAGTTTTCAAACCTTCAGAAATTAGAAGTATAACAAAGTTGCCTATATTCAGCGTGATTGGTGTTCTGTAGAAATGTTCACAGCTCTCCCCACATGCAAACTGAATTCTGAGGACTTTATATAATTTCCGAGACCCATTGTTTTCTAACCTGAATGCTTTGTTTTACAAGAAATCCAAAGTAAGCGACAAGAGAGGAAAAGAAGAACAACAGCAAATCCAGTGTACAGTGGAGCCGTTTTTGAGCCTGAGGTATTAATTTTTTGCTGGGGAAAGCTGGTATTTTCATTCTGAACTTGTGTGTCTTTTCTGCCATGTTGCTATCTCCTAAGCGATCTCAGTCCTAACTAGATAGGCAAGCTATCATTTATAATTCAAAAGGCCGTTGCAATGATAGGACCCTCAGATTTTTAAATAGTAAATGCATTGGGATGTTCTTCTAATGCATCTTTTTCTGCCTCTTCCTATGTAAAGCTGATGTTAAATAGCAGCGTGTGTTAGTCTTACCACTAGGTCTGCTTGCATATCAGCCTGAAGCAGTCCAGATGTCAGCAGTAGTGTAAAAAAAACAACCTTTCTGAAGCTGTGCTTCAGAAAACAGAACAGCCAGTAATCTCACTTAGTACTACTATGTAATATTAACCAACAAAAATTGTTATATTCTTCCCTGCAGCGCAAGAAGAGTGCAGTCACGTACCTGAACAGCACAATGCATCCCGGGACACGTAAAAGAGGTGAGGTATACTTAGACCTGTCTCCCTGCTGTATGCCTCTTCCTCCATCTTGCATTTGCAGTCCCCTTGTTAATTTGAAGAGCAAAACAAAGAAGGACTCTACAGTACTTCATTTGTCCAGTAAATTTCCACAGCAAAGGTCATGACTTCTAGGGATTAGCATAGCAGGTTTTATTAGGCAGCTCAATGTTTCATTTCAGTTTCACTCTCCAAAAAAAAAAATAAAAATACAGCAGATAGAGCAAGTGAAACGTGAGATGCTTGAACATCATTTAGTGGTATAAAGCTGCTGTCAGATCCTCTTGTTAATAACTAAATTGTATTGTTACTGTCAAGAAGGTGGTTATGGAAAAATGTCTGTGCCCTGAATAGGAGAGGAAACTTAGTGTGACAAAAGCTTTGTTCCCCACTGGGGGTAGAGATGGGTCCTTCAAAAGAATTTATCTTGAGCAAGAAAGGCTAACGTGCTCATACTGAGCACTTTTCTGCAACCAGAGTGCTACTTGTCCTAAAATGAGAGTTGGATCTTTCGTATAGGTATGCAGTATTATTCAGTAGAAATCCTTCTGTAGAACAGGTGAAATTTGAAGACTTAGATTATGGTGAAACAGATGAGTCAGAACAGCATAGGAGAGAACATGATACCGTTTTTTGTGCATGGCATCAGCCACACATATATGACAATCTTTCCTTGATTTTTGATGATTTTCTGCAGTCTCGTAATACCTTCTCTACTCCAGAGTTTTTTGTATTAAAAAAAGTAATCAATCGGATCAAAAAAACCCAGTCCTGTCTAGCACTCACCACTTCCATTAGCTTTGTTTTTTGGCTGCAAGGTCAAATATTCATTTGACATGTACTCTCCTTGATATACCTCTTCAGTCCAGCAGGTAGTGTGGCAAAGCTGACACTTCTGCAGCTATGCTGTTTCTAAATAAAAGACACCAGTCTCTACTGCCATCCTCTAATAACATTAAATGTATTTTTTTTAAATGATATGATGTAGATTTTACAGAGAGAGAGTTTTGCATTTACTCTGTGGATAAGTAAATGTTCCTTCTCCTAGTAATGATTTCTTAATTCTATTTTATAACTCATTGTGAACAATTATTGTATCAATGAAAACGATTGCATGCTTTTGTACTTGATACTCTCTTAGCCTGTTTTTGCACACTGACTGCTATTATACTTTCTTTTTTTCCTCACACCCTGTTGTGAGCCTGTACCTTGCATCAGCACCAAATCAGTAGCACACATTTTCAGTTGACAAAAGATTTGGATGTATACACTTGTTTTGTGATTTAGTATAGCAATATATTAGGTAAAAAGCTTATGCAAGCATGTGCCCTTGAGAGCTTTAGTTTAATTCTAGATGGTGCTGAGCGTGTCAGAAATTTCAGCCATGGACATCACTACTAGAAATCCGTTTCCAAGGACATACTTAGTTCTGGAACATATCCAGACCTTAAATGCAAGGTTTAGCATGTTAATAGGTATAGACTGACAATCTGTAAACATAAGATCTGGGGAATTATTCCTAGATCCTAACTCCTTTATGTTTACATATCCATAAATTACCCTGGAGAAGGGAGGCAGAAATGATGGTTACATACTGTGTTTTTGCTGTCTTGCTTTGCATACATAATTTTATGAAAAATGTTACGAACACATTTGGCTCTTCTGCTAGTCTAAAGGAGCATATAGAAGTTGTGCATAATCAAACATATTTGACTGAGAAAGTCTAAGAAAGAATACAGAATCTGGGGGGGTTACAGTGGAATACCAGTGGTAGGTTACAACTGGTAGTGCTGGTGGTGTGGGTCAGACAACAGGGCCTGTTCTGGAGGTAGCCTAATTTAAAAAATGTACCAGTAGGGTAGGAAGTGCTGATCTGTGGGTGAGTGGGTTTAAAAAAGGGGGAAGAAAAGGGGGGGGGTGGTGAGTGTTGGCCTCTGATAAAGGACTTAACCTTTGTGTAGATTCATGCTGGCACTAGAAAGATAGGGAGGTGTGGGATAACAGTAGAAAGGATTTAATAGTAGTTATTGTAGCTTCTCTCTAGCTTTGATGCCAACATGTTTTCCCTAAAAACTAAATAGCCTCATTTCTAGGAGTGGCTTTTGTGGGAGTGATTCTTTGACCCTCTACAGAGCTTATTTCTATTTCCTTCTGAAATACATCTTTTAAATGTTCTTTCCTTGCACAATTCTACTTAAAGATTTCTAAAAAAATGTTTAAATCTTTGCTTCTGTCCTTCCACTTGTAACTTTTATATTAACTTCCTCTCTGTGCTACATCATTTCCTTTTTCACGCTAGCCAATGAGGACCACTGGCCAAAGGTATGTAAGATCATTTTTCCTTTTTTTTTTTTTTTTTTTTTTTTTTTTTTTTTTTTTTTTTTTGTGTTCCCTGTTGTTAATATATAGGTCGTCCACCTAAATACAACACGGTGCTGGGGTTCGGGGCTTTGACCCCTACGTCCCCTCTGTCCAGTTATCCTGACTCCCCTGAAAATGAAAAGACAGAGACCACATTTACTTTTCCCGCAGCTGTTCAGCCTGTGTCCCTGCCTAGCCCCAGCTCCACAGACGTAAGTAACTCTTGGGGAGGGGGTTACTTTTAGAAAGATATGCAGAAACAGCCACAAGGAAAATTTTTGCAGATTTTGGTTCTTTAGTCTCACTCATCATTTGTCCTGATTCAGTTCAGTGAAACAGTCCAGCATTCTTTTAACACCCTTCCTTTTTCCTCCTGCACCTATGTTCTTGTCCTGTGGAGATTTTATTTATAACTCCTTCAGTGGATTGAAACATTGGGAGGCACCAGGCATGCTAGATGAGCTCATTTCCTTTGTGCAGTGTCTGAGATCTTGTCGGACTGAATTGAATCTGTCATCCATGAAAAAGGGGGAAGAGGAGAATGAAAAGTATTACTTACAGACCATAATAACAAAAAGTTGTGGTGTTTCTGTAATGAGAGAAGGAGGGAAACTGCTTGGGTCACGCAGAACAGCCAGGAGCAGCATTTGTGGCACTGGTTTGGCAGTTCTGGTGTACTGGCGTAGCTAAATACATTGCCCCTGTGGTCAGATCGCAAAATCTGTCTTGAGTGAAATCTGGTCATATTGTTATAATTTATAAAGAAGTGAGTGTCCTTATTTTAAGTTAATTCAAAGATAAGATTTGCTACTCAAAGCACAACCTTTTTTAAGTTGCTCATAACTATCCAATTATTTCATTGTTTCTATTTCTTGCAAAAACATGATGAAAAAAATTAAAGGTCATGCATAAACTTTAGAAGAAAAATAGTGTGGGAAGAATTGGACTGAGTCGCTGCGTAGGTCCAAAATGACATAAGGAAGGGACTGTACACTATGGTTTGTCTGAAAGTGTACTGTGACTGTTCAGTATGGGTGAAACAATTCATTGCACAAAAATCCTCAGGAGTTGTAGTGTACTTCCAGTAAAGTGCTTGTGTTTTAATGACTAGTACTTACTGGGCACAGTTTAAAAATAAAAAGGTGCTTGCTTATTTCTTCATACCAGTGCTGCAAACTCCTTCTGCAATCTGAGTCAGAGTGGTCTCCTCCCCCCCCGCCCCCTTTTTTTTGTTAAACATATCACATATAATTGAGGCCCAACCACTTGAAATGGGCTTTAAGGAAGAGTTGGGCAGCTTTATTTTTGTCTGTGCAGTTGCACCACTGTAAATACATAGACTGAGAGACCAACTCTACTGGCCACATACAACAGGGAATAGAAGCCAGCTTCTTGCCTCTGAACTGTATTTGTTCTGCAGAGGTAACAGGAATAGAAATAGTACAAGTGTGTCTGAGTCACTGAAATAAATAGATGCAATTCTGATACCCAGGGAATATGTATGTGGAATTAAAAGGTTCTCTTTCATATAGTCATTTTTGAGACCAGAATAGCACTTGGCTGTAAAAACCCTTTCCTGACAGTCAAATGAATGGGATTGTGGAACAGCCCCTCAGGGAGAAGGTGGGGCAGCTCCATCCCTGGGGACTTTTAAAATTAAACAGTACAAACAGCTAGGAAGCATGCTGGAGAGCACATTTTTTACATTGGCCCCAAGAGAAGGACTGGATAATGTGGTGGGGGTCTTTTCCATCTCTGACCTGTGTGTGTATACTGCCGAGTCTTTTCCCACCGTGTAAGAGCTCTCGAAACAGTACAATGAGTTGTTGCTCTGTTTCCTGCAGTGCCTGGTGGCAGCAAGCTAAATGAAGAATAGTGAATTTCTGTAGCATTCAAATCTAGTTCTGAATGCCCTGAATTTTCTGAATTTGGATAGTATTTAGGCCTAGGTTTGGGATTGCTTTAATATTCATTAATTAATGAAAATAGAAGGATTTTAAAGGAGACAATGGAATATTACACAGCAGGTAATTAACATTCTATCTTACCTGAGCATATTACAATATAGCACAGTAGCACTCTTTCCCCTTTAGAATCATATATAAATCTCTTTTAACATGTTTCCAGACAAGTCATTTGGTTTATATATATACAACAGCACTAACATTTTTGTGGGTTTAATTTTTTGAAAAATTTTTATCCCAAAGTCCCATTCAATGCATGTTTGCTGTCAATTGGGCTAATTTGGTAGACTTTTCAGAAATATTTGGTATTTAATTCCATATAAAATAAAATACAAGTAGAAAATATATTTCAAAGTGCTCATAAAATTTTTTTTTAATTAAAAATAGACTATTAAACAAAATTTGAACCCTCAGAGGCAGCAAAATACTGGAAAGGAAGTAAATACGATATCTGCTGTTCTGTCATAAGATCTAATGATTCTTACTTGCTAATCATAAAGAGATGAAAGATTTCCCGTTACCATCATGAGCTGGAAGGTAGTCTTCTGTTAATACGGTCTCATAAAATTGCTGCATAAGCTCATGCAGTCACATCCCTTTTTTGTGATTCAGTTTCCCCCATTTATGTATTTGGCGTGGTGCTTCCTTTTCCCATCTGAGTTTTGAGAACTTAGCAATACTTCTAAAAACCTTTAGCATCCTTGACTGGAAAAGTGCTACATAATGCTGGAAAAGTACTATATATTTAAAGACCAACAGTATGAGTTGTGCTGGCGGTGAAGACAAAGAGGAAAAATAGGTCTTTGGCATTTAAGGAGCTTGCAGCTTAATTAAATGTAGAATACAGTATACACTGAAATGCTCATGACACGGTTTATGACTGGTGCTACCACTGAGAACTGTCCTGCCTGTCACAAGCAGTCTTTTCTCATCTCTTAAATGCCTCCTGTGTTGTTCCAGCACAGATATATCTGAGGCCACATTGTGATCTGCATAAGGGAACTGGCATAGCTAAAAATTGTTAGTCTTAGCCAAGATCGTGCCCTAATCTGGTTAATTTTATAGACACACTAGTTCTTGTGCCAGCCTCATGCAGGGGACAGAAATGAATGTCTGGGCACATAGAAAAGGCAGGATCACTTCTTCTGGCAGTGAGTCCAGTCCATGTTGTGTTGCAGAGGGTCTACACTGTTAGCAGATGATGTGAATATAGAAAGGTCTCTTTAATCTAGATAGGACAGAAAACATTGTCTGTAGTTACAGCGTCCAGCTTTTGGGGACTTAAAAATGAAAACACAACAAGTGCATGCCTAAGTAAAAGGCTATCTCAGAAGTCTCAGTTAAAACAAATGAGCAGTTCCTCAGACAGATACAGAAGACTGCAGTTTTGCCCATCTTCAAAATATTTTTCATTAATTTGTTGAGAAGGTCTAATTCCTATAGGCTTTAGAATGGAAATTTGATATTTAGCACTTGAGTAATCTCTGTCTTTAGCCAGCCTATGAAAATTACAAATCAGACCAAGCACTTGGCACCAGGCACCATGGCTCAGAATGGCCTTCTTGCTTTTCTCCTGAGTTGTCATTCTTTGAATGACAAGGGTAAATTTTGAAGGGAGGATGAAGCATGAACTTGAGATGGGATTGGTGTTAAGGGTGGCGGGGTAGAAAGTAGGAATAAAACTTGGGAAAAGGAAGGAAGTAATGCAGTAGGCAGGATTGAGCAAAACTTCTCCTTCCCCCCCCCCCTTTTTTTTTTTTTTTTTTTTTTTGGGAATTTTTTTTTTACCACTTGGTTATGTGTGATTCTTCCTCATGCAGTAGTGGCATATTCACCTGGAAGGTAGCAATTGCCTTTGAAGGTCAATTACTCTGCAGTAAGAATAGTGCAAAAATCTTTATTCTAGTGATGGTTCAAGTCTGTGGTCACAAAATGCCTTTTTACTAGTAAACTTTTTATATCAAAACAAGATTTCAATTCAGAGGAACATTAAAGAACATTCAGATTGCGAAGTCAAGCCCATAAAAGCTACGAAATTCAAGAATTATTATTGCTTCTGATAACTTAATTCACTTACATCATACATTATGATCAGCTTTATTTATATTGTCATGAACAATTCCTGTTGCGGAGTATTTAGTTTTCCCATGTTGTTCCAGTGAAATGTACATATAAGTATAGGTATTATATATTCTAACACACAAACTACGTACACTTCTGATTTGATACCGTATTATTCAGTTCTATTGCCTAAAGCCAGGCCCTGCTGCTCTAGACACTTTATAAAAATAAAGAAAACTGTTAGCCGTCCAAAAAGCTTTCATTTATTTTTCGTGGTCTCTTGGTGCAGAGGAAGTAGAGCAAAAAGTGACATTAAATCACCTTTTATGGTCTCTGTTCTGAAATTATTCTTCAGTCTCTTCAGCCTGTAGCATGTGTTAGAGCAGCCTCAGTGAGCTCTGCTCCAGCCTAAGTTGGCTGCCTATAGCCCTCACAGAACTGGTCCAAAAGCTGAGATTAGTGGGGTGCATGTCACAACATCAAATCCAGCCTGCCTTTATGCATATATTTATTAACTGCCCATAAAACCTGGGGCATTTCTTTGGAATCAAACAGTGGCTGGTATTTTGGTAAGGCTGTTTATTAATTCTGAGGAAATGCCCTGAATTTTGCATTACCAAAAATAGGACTCTGGATTTTGTGCACGTCTGTTGTCATCTCAACGCGTTCAGCTGCACTGCACACTGACCAGCTGTGTCACTTCAGGTTTTGCAGCATTCAGTTGAATTTAGAAGGTTCTGGGTCTAAATGTCTCCCCCTCAAGAAGCAGCTGCATGTGTCTCTTTTTGCAGGGTATTAGACAAAACAGGTTTTGTTTTCAACACACCAATAATTTTGCACCCGAGCCAGTTACCAAGTGCCATCATGTAGTCTGTGGCAACCGAAGCATCTTAACACATGTAATTCTCTAGAATGAGAATTTCTTTCTAAAATGTGAGAATTTTCCTCTTAAATTTTGCCTTAGGTTACAGAGGATTTTGTTTCAGCTTATGTGACATCTCCTACTGTTGTGGTTTAACCCCAACGGGCAATTAAGCACCACACAGCAGCTCGCACATTCCCCACCCCTGCTGTGGGATGAGAGAGAGAATCAGAAAACAAAAAAGTAATACTCGTGGTTGAGATAAAGACAGTTTAATAGGACAGAAAAGGAAGGGAAAATAATAATAATAGAATATACAAAACAGGTGATGCGCAACACAATTGCTCACCACCAGCTGACCGATGCCCAGCCAATCCCTGAGCCACAGTGCCCAGCCAGCCAACTCCTCCCAGTTTATATACTGGGCATGATGTCATATGGTCTGGAATACCCCTTTGGTCAGTTTGGGTCAGCTGTCCTGGCTGTGTCCCTTCCCAACTTCTTGTGCCCCTCCAGCCCTCTTGCTGGCTGGGCATCACAAGCTGGAAAATCCTTGACTTTCGACTAAAAATTACTTAGCAACAACTGAAAACATCAGTGTGTTATCAACATTCTTCTCATACTGAACCCAAATCATAGCACTATACCAGCTACTAGAAAGAAAATCAACTCTATCCCAGCTGAAACCAGGATACCTGCCTGCCTTCTTTTCCTTGTACTCACAGAATGCTTGATAGAGGAAAAGAAGTTCTTCCCAGCCTGGTTACACAGATCACTTCACAAGAGGCATGAGATGTCACTCATTTAATTCTTCATTTAACACTGAGGAACCTTTTGGTGTTAAAGGATGAAGTAATACCATAACCCAGCTCTCAGTGATACCTGGGAGTTACGGAACCAAAACATGGCACTGAAAATTCACTAAAGATTGATCCTTTACAAAACATGACATCAGTGCTAACCTTGGGAATTAAAAGAAGGATAGCCTTCCCTTTGAAGAAAGGCCTCATCAGCAGTAGAGCCAGGAAGCAGAAACCTGAGCAGATTGCTTGTGTGTCATTCTTCTAATATGCTTAATATTTTATCCATAGTAGAGATCAGCGTCATTTTTCTTGCCTGGCAACTTAATGTGTAAGTTCACAGCCAAATCTGCTACCCTCCAAATTGATAGAACTTATTCACGCACGTGAAAAGACTGTATGGGTCAAAATGAAACCTTGCACACATTGATATTTCATACAGGGGGAGTGTATACGCACAGTTTGACTCAACCCATGCATCTTAAGATTGTGGTTTTGCAGATCTCTTGTGTGTGTGAGACTTTAACCAAAGTCGGTGAGAAGTGCGTATTTCAGACTCCAGGTGGGGTCTTGACTATGTCGAGTTGCCAGGACAGCTCACAGGTGGTGAGAGGAGAGGGCTGGGGTGCCCCTCTGCCCCTCTGTGGATGCTGAGCCATCTTTCTTTCATACCTCTTTGTTCAAATAGCCGAAATACAAACAGAAACACCACCACTACTCCAAGCATGAGATGGGAGTAACAGGAGGAGAGAGAGAGAAAAAGTGACAAAAATCAGACTTATCTTTCTGGGAAGTTAATGGCTGTAGAAAAAAATTCTCTCTGATGGTGATGCAATAGTAACTAAATCTAGGTTTTTTTAAGACCCACTGCCAGTAATGTTTTCAATCCTTTCTTTTAAAAAACCCTTAGTTAGAAAATCTCTCTTGGTATTCCTTCATCCTGGCTCTCAGGCTGTGTCAGTGATGAAACATAAAACACTCTCAATAGAGAATGAGAAAATTTTGAGTCACAGCTTTTTTGGTGCAACTTGAGGTAACCTAAGTGAAATAAAAAGAATTTTCTCAGATCATCGTTCATTCTGTTCTTTTTCATTTACAAGCACAACACCTTTTCCTTCCAGTTTCATTTCTAAAAGTGACCTAAATATTTGATGGGTTCTTTTAAGTCACTCAGCTGGGGTTTCTTACATACTATTACTGGCAAGAGACAGTCTCATCAGCGTTCATGAAGTGGAGTTGTGCTTATATCCAGAAATGAGAAGGGTTAGGAAAGTGGGTAGCTCGTTACTTTAGGAAAAAAAAAAAAAAAAAAAAGGCAGGGTAAGGGGGAAACTTAAAGAAGAAACGCCATGGGGAAGCAGTTGTTAAGAGAAGCTATGGTAATAAGTGTTTGCTGTAACATTTTGCCTTGTGAGGACAGAGGGAGTGTTTGGGAGGACAGATGTCAGTGTTTCTGACATATTGCCTCATTTTCCTGTTTTACAGCCTAAAAAGGGCTTGACCATTTGGAATCCCCTTAGAAATAGTTTGTGCTGTAAACTTTGCATTCAGCTAGGATGTAGATGTCAAAGATCAAAGTTCACTTTTTGCCTTCTCTCTCTTTCTCTCACCCACACCCTTTCCCCTCAATTTTACAGGGCGATATCCATGAGGATTTTTGCAGTGTTTGCAGAAAAAGCGGGCAGTTGCTGATGTGTGACACGTGTTCACGTGTTTATCACCTGGACTGTCTGGACCCACCTCTGAAAACCATTCCCAAGGGCATGTGGATCTGTCCCAAATGTCAAGACCAGGTATTGTTTGACAGACAGGAAGAGTTATATACAATGCGCTATGAAGAATTTTCCATGTTAAAGAAAATAACCATATCACTTGGCTTACTTAGATCAAGACAGCCTGATGCTGAAAAAATCTATTTGATCTGTAATAAGGCTTGTGTGAATTTGATCGAATTGCCTCAGTTGGAATGTGTGCAAATACAAAACTGTTAGGTTTTGCACACAGACTTTTGGGAAAGGTTCTCTATGACCCACAGAAATTTTGCTGTTCATCTTAAGCTTATTGTTTCTTCAAAAGTTATTAGTATATTCTTCTGGACAAATAAATAAAACATTTGCACAAGCGTACCTCAATAGATAGAGCAAATATAAGCCCCTGTTTGCTCATATAAATCAAACATCAGAAAGGTTGTCTTCAGTGACGTCTCTAATAATACCATCCAGCATCAGTATAATGAAAATAGGCGAACAGTTTGGTGGTTCTTCATTCTAGATCACTCTCTGAAAGTACACAATTGAAGTGAACAGATTATATTTTAATGTTTTGTTTATAATTCCATTGAGATGACAAGACAAAGAAGTAAACTGTTGTATTCCTAACCCTTACATGGAACTCCAGAAGTTGCAAAGGATTGCTGATAATCAGCAGCCTGAAGCTGTTAGCATTCTGTCTAATGTAGCATATTGCTTGGTTGCCCATGTGACCTTCGGTTAGCCAGATGGCAACGTAAGAAAACAGCCTGATGTATGATACGCTGTTCAAAAAAATGAAAATGAAAAATTCAAGTGACTTGGTCAGTGGTTACGAGAGAGGAGGGAGTGCTACTACTTCCCTATTCCTGCTCTTGCCTACTCTCACCTTATCCCTCTTCTTCCTATTTCTGTGATAGGTTTCCACAAAATTAGGGGGGGGGAATCCAAGTAATTTCACTGTAAAGTGACCAAGTCCTCTATCTTCTGAGACACACTTCTGATTTATTTATTAAAAATACTTGTCTTTCCTCTCAAAATAAATTTTGTTAGGAAGGAATACATAGGAAGGATCTGAAAGATATAAATGGTGCTTACCCTTATAAAGAGGGTTTGACAACTCTATTAAGATGATTCTGATAAGAAGGGGAGATAGGATGGTTTCATGTTTTACTAGCCAGGAAGTGTGGTGTTTGAATGGATGGTGTGGAGACTGTTCTGGGCCACGAAAACTTTTATCCCAGAACAACTAAGATCAGCAATTTGTCTGAACCATGAAATAAGGTTTATGTCTCCTGGCAAGTTTGAGTTCAGGTATATTATCCTTTCATTCCTCTTTTAAGTTGTTCAGTTTCATTAGTAGACTTTATTTGTGGCTATGGAGGGAATTTGAGAAAATGCTGACATTTGTAAGAAACAGGCCTGCTTTGCAGGAGCCACAATACAGTTGTGAATAATTCTCTCTGTTAAATCTCAGAACAGGTCTGTGAAGCTTCTTGTTAACAGGGCTGAGGCTAATGATAGCCATAAAAGAAAATCCTCAGTCTTTCCCTCTTTCTCTCTTTCCTTTTTGCTTTCTTAGAGGTGGATTGTGTACCATCTAAATCTCTAAATGCTTTTCTTTCAGATGCTAAAGAAGGAAGAAGCAATCCCATGGCCAGGAACTTTAGCAATTGTTCATTCATATATTGCATATAAAGCAGGTAGGAAAATGCAGAACAACACTTCTGTTTCACTTTTAATAATGGAAGATGTTATTTTGGGAATGGGATAGAATGGTACTTGCTTTGCAAAAGGAAATTAAAGAGGAAGAACCTTAATCACTAGTGAAGTGAAAATAGCAGTTTAAATATTTGTTAAGCCTTCTGTGATGCTTGTGTGTGTAGGTGAAATTTTGGGCGTGATTTAGTGCACAAGTTGTTAAATTGACTTGAAACGCAATTACCCTCTTTACATGAAGCAGTTTAGATCCTCTGTCCACTGTTGTAACAGGAACATTTTAAATAGTCTGATTAATATTCTGTTTTGCAGCAAAAGAAGAGGAAAAACAGAAACTACTTAAATGGAGTTCAGATTTAAAACAGGAAAGAGAACAACTAGAGCAGAAGGTCAAACAACTCAGCAATTCTATAACGGTGAGTATTGCCCTCACAAATAACTCTGCACCTGTGTTCTGGTGCCAGAATGCAGAGAGAAAACTGTAGAGTGAGTCCATGTACAAGACCTGTCGTCCACTGGATTTACTGAGAATTGAGTGAGCACTTTCATTTGCTTTTTAGAACTTTGGGGAGCAGGAATGAAATACAGGCAACGTATACTTACATTGAGTCACTTATACATGATCCATGCTGACCATACGTTGTAGACATACAGTGACCTATAATATCAGCAGGTGACAAACATGACCCAGAGCATTGTTGTCTGTGGGCAGTAGATTAAGTCCAATTCCCCAGTGGCTAACTTAAATAAGAATGGTTGGGCCTGTGTGTGTAATAAGAGTTACAGTCCTGGTGCACTTTGCAGACCTTCCTAACACAAAAGTGACCGTTCACTCATGACTGACTCTCAGGCTTTTGACATGTTGCCTTGGCAGTCAGCAGCTGGACACTGCATAATATTAATCAGACAATGTCATACTTGGAACCAGAAACTGTAGTTTCCACCTTAGTTTATCGCAGTAATTGGAGCATACATATTGATTTGCTCTATGCAAATCAGGCTCTTGAGTTGCCAGTGTAAAGTTTGAGCCCCTCACTTAGTGTAGCCCTAGTCAGTGTCACAGAATTAAAAATACTGTAATCTCTTATGTGGCAGCATCTGTAAGGCTGGATACATAAGTACAGGCTTTTCTTTTTAAATACAGATGCGCTTTCTGGTCTGCCTGTCGTTACCTATTAGGACAAAAGTAAATGTCCCATGTTTATAGACCCCTAAATGCCCCTAAATGCTGACCGTACAAATAAAACAACTGGGAGAAAACAAGTGGTGAGAGGTGCTGGTTAGCAGTTCTAGAGACTGTCATCTTCTGGTTAGCAGTAGCTGGGCATAACCTGAGCAGCGCTAGAACACTAACACTGTTTCTCAGTGATGTACTCAGGCAGATGCAAGCCTTTAATGTGAGGGATTGACAGTAGGTAAGGAGAATGGTTTATTTTCTATGATCGAGTCATTTTTTTATGCTTTCATTGGAACTGTCCAAAAAAGACACATTAGGCCTAAATATTGTGGTGTTTTTATGATGCTACGAGCTGCGTGTGAAAACAGTAAAGCTGAAACCAACAGTGTCTGGAGATCAGCGTGGATAAAAGGTTTAAGAAATGTAGGAAGGTTGCCATCTTCATGTAAGAACCTCAATGTTACAGACATAGCTACCATCTCCTTTTTGAGAGTTTCATATGTAGATATAACCAGTTTTTCACCCTTGAAACATCATTTGTGGACTTTTTTTACAGTTATTTTATGCTGACTCTTATCTGATGAGCTAGCTAGGTTACTTTTGCTTCTAAGAGAAAGAAGTGGCCACAAAATAAGATTTTCAAGTCAAGAAGGGCTTGTTTTTCTTTTCAAGTACCCCTTTATTTATTGAGAGAAGGAAGTGATGTTCCTGCTAAAATATATGTGAAAGCAAAGGCTGTATCCCTTTAGTGGCATGCACACACACTGTCAGCAGTCAGCTGCAGTAGGATGCCTGAGTTTGCAGATCTGAGCTAAAGAAATTTCAGCAATGCAATACTAATAGAAAAAATAAGAAGAACATCTACTTGGAAGTTTCCCTTCAAAAGGAACACAAAAGGATGGAGTTGTCTGTGTTCATTTGCAAAACACCTTGGGATGAAAGGGGGCCATACCAGGTGACAGCTACGTACTGGCAGTTTAATTCCTCAGCCTGCAAATAAGAATTCTCCTGTGAACACAGCCCTGAGACTCTTTTTCTTCTAGGCTGGGAAAGTGAAATTGTAGTTGCAGCCTCTTTTCTGCGTATTTATATTTAGATCTGTGAACATCATATTCCTTCTCTTACCTTCTTTAATTCATAAGCTTGAACTTATTACTGCTTTTCTGTTTTGCTGCAGAAATGCATGGAAATGAAGAATACCATCCTTGCAAAACAGAAGGAGATGCACAGCTCCTTGGAGAAGGTAAAACAGCTGATCCGCCTCATCCAAGGCATCGACCTTTCAAAACCCATAAACTCTGAGGTCAATTCAGTAGCCATCTCCAATGGCATGGACTCCACTAACAATACTAATGCTGCCACCTCCACCTTAGCCCCCTCCCCTTCCCAGAGCTGCATGGTGAACTGTAACAAGGGCGATGAGACTAAATAACACAGTGAAGTTAAGAAGGAGCCAAGGGAGGTGGCGGTGAGGAGGAAGAGCAAGATAATGAAACTCTAGAAAAGCAAAACCGGATTTCTTCTGGAAAGTGCAGAATTCTTTAGTTCTTTGGTTCCAGAGAGAGCGTGAAGATGCTTGTGCCAGGCGGCACCGGAGTTTGCCAATTGATCCTTCTTATTCTGTGTGTACATGCAAAGTTTGGATCATGTTACATGAATAGTGCCAGCTGGGGGTTCTTTGCCAGCACCATGCCAAGTGAAATAATATATTTACTCTCTCTATATTTTACACCAGTGTGTGCCTGCAGCAGCCTCCACAGCCACTATAGGTTTGTTTTATTTTTGTTTGGGGTGAGGAGCAGGGATGAGGGAGGAGAGCAGGTTTCAAATCCTTATTTGCAGAACAGTTTGTTTAGCTAGGGGAAAACAAAAACAAGTCCAAAGAGCCTGTGGGCTTTTCCTGTTTCTAAACTCTCAGTACTATTAAACCAAAAAAACAGAAATATAAATTATCAAATCCCAGTGCCCAGAAGGGACAAGTCTATCAAATAAGCAGTATTTACTATTGTTTAGACAGGAGATGTACAAAAGGAAAGGAGATGGACTTTTCACTGAGTAACCAGCACATGTACAGGCTGAGTATCTACTGTCCCAACAGCTTTGGGTTAATCCTGTTTCTTCACATTAAACAACAGACATGCTTTGCAGAATTGGTTTGGGTCCTCACACTCATCCAGAAAGCCTATGTTGGGAATGGGAAAATAGAGGGCCAGAATCCAGGGTCAGCTTGGAGCATTGGACGGAGGTGTCCCAAGAGAAAATGTGCATCGATTACTTGAAAATGAGATTCCAACCCTTTTCTATATTTATAAACAACAAAGGTATCCTGAACAAAGTAGCACATGACCCAGATGTGTGAACTGAACAGAGAAATGTCCTTTCTTTCACTTCCTTTCTCTTCTTTTGGTAACAAGAACTAAATAAGGAATAGAAAAGCTGTTTTTCAGGCTGACAGTCTAATTAAAGAGGTAGATGGGACCTTGCATGGTATAGATTAGAAGTAATAGTGTCAGTGAGATACAGTGAGTCTTTGTGAGTCCTTGTGTCATCGTTTTGGGCACTGTTTTTTTATGCAAGGGCAAAATCTTTGTATCTGGGGGAAAAAAAAACAACTTTTTTAAATTAAAAAGGAAAATAAAAGATATTGAGGTCTTCCTAGTGTTACTTAAAATAAGATCAAGGTAAGAAACATTGTAAAAAAAAAAAAAATTACAAAAGTGCTATTTGTTTCCTAAACAAGTGATTTCTATTAAAAAGGTGTCAGAACTGGAGAAAACGCTGTGTACTTAGAATTTTTTAACACAGACTTTGCTTATTTATGATGACATTCTGCTGTGTTTGTGTTTTAAAATCCAATGGGACAATTTCCATAGATTATACCATACATGCTACTGGCTAAACTCTAAAGAGAATCAAATCCTGCAGTGCTGGATCTCACCCCACCTGGAGGATCTGCCAGGCTTGTCTCTGCTGTTACCATATCTCCCCCATTCTTTCATGTATTCGTAACCCAGAGAGAAGCAATTGGCAGCGTGCTTGTTTAAGGCTTTTATAGTTTTGTGATACAGACGGATTAGAGCTTGAGAATGAAAGTGAGTTGGTTAGGCTGAAATCGCCTTCTGTTACATCCTCTTGTTTAAGAAGTTCATCTCTTATGTATAATCTTTTCACTCTAGATAGCAAAGCTTGCCTTGTGCTTCCTATTATTGTGGGGTCTGTCTCAGTTTAGAGTGCTGATTCTGGTCATGTAGGGTTGTGTCACAGAGCTGCCTAGTTTCACTACTGCATATAAACTTTTGGGCAAACCCTGTTTCTACTGTAAGTACTGGTAAAACTCCCTTTACTTCCAGTGGGAGCAGAGTTGAGCCACTACACACGATGTGAGGCAGAGTCCCCGGTGCGGTGCCCTTGAGAGCATGCGTTGGGTGGCGAGGCAGACCTGCTCAGCTGTTTCTAGTGGAAGATAGAAAAGGTTTGGATTTCAAGGATGCATTTCTGAGCAAGAAGTGAATACTCCAGACACTACATAGCCTGAGAGAGTCTCTTTGCTGCTACAGCCAAGTATGCTTCTGTGGGATTCTTGGAGCTGTTTGCTTCCCTCTCCTTTAGGTTGCCCTTCTGCCCTTTAAGGACTTTTATTCCTTCTGTAGGCGTGTGCACTATTTTCAGCTCTGAGCTCAGAACTGATATCCCGAGTTCTCACATTTTGTCTGTAGTTGGGAAAGTGACTCTTACGTGCACTTCTCAGCTGAACCTGGGATAACCTCGACTCTGTCTTGTGATGTTTGAGTTCTGTTCTGGAACTAGCAGAGCTGGAAGGATAAGTTAGCACAAGTGGCAAGGAGACAGCTGGGCAGACGATGTCAAAACTGGTCAAACTAAAAATGTCCTTCCATCAACCCAGTTACCAGTGGGGATCATTATCATAGGGCAGCACTGTGCCAGCAACCCATAGCACTTAAACAAAGGACTATATATTTCAAGGGATGAAGAGAAAAAACAAACTGAACATGAGCCTTCTTTCTTTAGAATATGAGCCAGCAGCTAACGGCCAGATACTCAGGAGAAACTGCCTTTTTGGCCAGGTTGTTCTGTAGTTGGCCACTTGGGTAATTCTTAACATCATCTTCTGAAGCATCGAGTACATTCCTGGTAAGAGACAGTCTCTAGGGATAGGTGCGCTGAGTCTTCATGGTTCTCATGTTCTTATTTCTGGTGTTATCTTCTGAGCTCTCTTGGAAGCACTGCACTGTTTGGGGGTAGCAAGCTATGCCTGAAGACTCAGTAGTCCTTCTCTTTTCTTTGCCAATTCAGGAGGGGATGGAAGTGAAATTCACTGGTAGCCGTATTTAAATTTGAGTGCAGTTAACCAGCCAGGAGATGTTAAAACAGCTATTACTGTTTTTCTGAGGCATCTGCTTGTCTCCAGAATCCGAGTAGATAAGTATAGACTTTTATGTCCCTTTTCTTAACAGCATTTGTATTCCAGACTGTAAAAGGACGCCTTTAGTTAATCATTACCTGGCAGAGAAATGATCTTAACTTAGACTTTTCGATGCTGCTAGGTAGTTTTCTCTCTCTCTCGCTGATCCCGTTTGGATGCTTTCCCTCCTGGCTCTGCAGCAGTATCAGTCAGTAGGCAAGGAGCATTCCCAGGGCTGCACTGACACTAGCAATGATGCTGCTACATAGACATAAGTAAATTGGGGTTATCTCTGCCCAATTAGCAACAATAGGGTGGAAGGGGAATTGGCATTTGCTAAACACAGAGGAAAATGTTGTTTTTCTAGCTGCTCTAAGAGTTTCCAATCAAGGGAGAAATTTAAACTCTGACAGCTTAGAAGCTCAAGTTTGTCTTCTGGGTTTGGACTGGTTTGGTTTTTTTCTCATGTAATATTTGAGAGAGGGTGAGTTTGTACTAAAACTTCTGCTCTTTGGGAAGCTGTCATAATGACTGGCGTTTTGTATTTCCAAACCACCATCAAGATATTAACTAATTCTTATGTCATTGCTTGTCATTGATGGGAAATAAGTGGCTTTTAAATCTCAGTTATAAAGGAGGAGATGAGACCACAGAGGAGGCTCACATCAGAGACGGCCCTGGCTCTCAGCCCAGTGCTAAGGGCTTTAAGAAGTCACCCTGCTTCTTTGCTCAGAAACAGAGTAAGCATTGCAGAAGTAGTTTTTTCCCTCCTCCTTGCAATCTGTTCTTTAAACAGCTGGAAAGGTGTGTTGTGGTCAGAGTGAGAAAGTGAGGGTGTGACCTGGCTAGAAGAATTAGTATTATCATTAATATTCTCATTATCTTCGTTTAGAGCCAGCGGTGGTTTTAGTGCTGTACAAAACACAGTAAAGGCAATACTTCTAGGGAAGATTGGCAAGTAGGGTGAGTAGCATGGATGATTCTTTGAGGACATCCATTAGCCAGGAGTTACCATGTTGGTAGGATGAACTAATGGTTTGCATGAGCAAAACAAGGACTTTGTTCTTTGTTGCAAGCAAGTTTCTGTTGGTGGGGATATGAACTAAAAGCCGCTAACCTAGAAATTAAAGAGGTGATAATTTTAAGGGCAGATCTTTTGGTTTTGTGGTTGGTAGGAAGAACAATATTGTATTTTATCCTTCCTAGCTGACCAGGCTTAAGAGAGCAAATGTGTATTCCAGCTGTCTGGAAATGTGAACCCTAATTCTGACCTCCTTGGCTTCAAATCATCTTCTTCCCTGTACTGTTGCAGAGACAGCCCTGAAAAGCAGCTTGATCAGCATTCAGGAGAACCCAGAGTGAAATCTCCCTCTTAGCCCCACCAAGCTGTAGCAGCCCCCAATACAGGGAGTAAACTCTGAAATTTCCTTCCCGTGTGGATACAGTGGAAAATATTTGTGAATTTGCAGTGCACATGCTTCTCTTGCTTTTTTTCCCCAGCTGGGTTGCACCCTGCCCTCTTTGCTTGTGAAGCACTAATGATGAATACATGTTTTTTAATGAAACATGTTTTTAAAATACCAATTCTGATGTCAAACCACAGTTCACTCTTTTACTGAGGGCCTCTCTCAGTGAGCTGCTCAGATAACCACTGAAATACCGATATTACGCTTCCTTGTGGACCATGCCCCTTTGGGCAGAATTTGTTGTGTCTTTTCAGAACTGTTTTGACCTTGCTTCACCTCCATTTGTCCTCCCTTGGGAATTCTGAAGATCCAGAGCAAGTTCAACCTTGCTGGGTTACTGCAGACAGTTTTCTGACAAGTGTGTAGAAGAAGAGTCAGGAACCTGGAGAGAGAGGAAGATGTTTTGTCGTGCAGCTAATTTCATTTGGCGTTTAGGCTTGCCTGGCCAACAAACTACCTCAGCAAAGGCCATTCCCAAGCACTATGTGGATTTTGTAGTTTCTGGCATTCAGAAGGCAAAAGGTCTCCGAAGAGCCCTTCCAACAGCCAGCTAGGTACTGGTCTCTGAGGGGATGCGAGCAAGCCTCGCAGCGACACACTGTTGGATCCTTGTTTTCAGTGGTCAGACCTGGACCAGGGAATGCCCTAAAAATCAGGTGGGATCAGGAAAACACAAGAGCTGCAGACATCTTGTCTCCAGGTTATTGCCGTCTTACTCAGATCCTTCTTTAAGCCTCAGTCCTGTTTGTAACACCTACAGAATGGAATGTAATACTTGAAAAATATGACTCTATGTCCTTTACCTTTAGCTCCCATTTCCCCATGTTTATCTTTTATCTGGGACAAGAACTTTCTGCATCATTGTGTCTTGTATAGGCTGAGCACATAGTTGAAACTTGCCAATAAAGAAAATTATTTATACCATGCACTGGTAAGCTTGGTAATTACAGACCCATGAAAAGACAAACACCTCTCCTAGAGGTTAATTTAAGATGTGGGCTTGTTTCAGAAAACCAAGACCTTACCTGTGTGAGGGTCTGTCTGTATCCCCTGTCAGTATTACTAAACTACCTGAGTAGCGAACAGAAAACAGGCTTGCCAAGAGCATCAGTGAAAAATCAGCCACGAGCTGTGAAAATCGCTGTGCTGTGCAAGGCCCTGGAGTGTATCGCATGAGAACAGCCAGGCTGGGGCTTCTCATCTCCCCAGGCCAGAGATGGGTGTTGCAAAGACAAAGGAAAGGACAGAAGCCTCTTTTGAGAAGCAAGGGCAGTGAAAAGGGGTACAGAGCTGGAGACGGGGGAAAGGAAGAGAGGAAGCAGGAGGAGCAAAGGAAATGAAGATTACGTGGGATAAAGCAGAGCAGAGAGAAGAAATGGAAAGAGAGGAGAAGGAGGGAACGTGAGGGTAGGAAAAACCCAGGAGTGAAATAGGGCTCTGTTGTGACGAGACAGGTATTCCTGCAGTTACAGGGTTTGAAAGTTCAGTGGAAAGACTAGGGCAAAAAGGCTCTTTATCCTGCCTTGATTCCTGACTTGGGTTGATCTGTATTCCAAAAGGACCAAGTGCGGTGGGAGAAAAGAGCTGCTCAGCTGCAGATAGGGAAGGAAGCGGGCACTAAGTCATCCCTAGCTCTGCTTCTGCTGCCGAGTGATGCCATCCTGACGAGAGCCTTATTTGACTTCTGTGCTACAACGTGGGATAAGGCAGATGAAGCAGACCTTGGGGCAGCTGGAGCCTGCTCTAATCTGGACCGCATTAATTAAAAATCTTGCTAGAAATACTCCCGAGACTAGCTAAAGGTTCAGCTCTGCCAATGTGGTTGCACCTTCCTAGTTCAAGTGTCACGATCAGCCTACTTGAAACCAGTGTCAGCTTACACAGGTCCCGAGTGGAGGAGATGATGCCGGGCAGGACCTGTGACTCAGATACTTCTCGGCCATCTCTTGGAGTATTCGTGCAAGATTCCTGCGCTCTGAGCTGTCACATCTGGCAGTTCTGTGCCAAAACCCCTCTGTGCAGCAATGCCTCCCTGTTTTCTTAGGATCTGGTTTCTTTAGGGACACATGCAAAGGGGCACTTCACCAGTACAGCTAGACAGGGGCATGTGGTAAGTTTAAGATAACCCTTCAGGAGCTGAGGGCCTGCATCAAGGCTACATTAAGCAGCAGCCCATGGGGCACCCTCCTGGGACAACGGCTGTCCCAGCTCTCCTGTGTTAGGAGGGAGTAAGCTCTGTGTCTGTTCTTCACTCTCTAGGATCCAAGCAGGTGTCAAATGCTTCAGACAGAGAAACTCAGCCCAGTGCCCATCTAGGAAGGAAGAAGTACTTAAGGGCATGCTTACTATCAGGAGTGCCTGGGGAACTCAAAAGCCTTGAAAGCTTGGCTCTGTCTGTCCTGGGTGGAGAGGTGGCACGGAAAGGCAGCAGCAGCGAGCAGTATCGGTCTGCTGGCGCTCAGCAGTGTTTTCACCACCTGGGGGATTTGCATCTTTTTTCTTTGTCCTAAATTTACACTGGCAAATGCAGACCTCGACCAATTCCTGCCCCTTTGTCACCTGCCTTCTTTTATCTGTGGTGTTGGAAAAGAAATGAAGTATTGTTACCGCTGAGCTTCGAGAAAGCCCTTTTCTTAGTCGGCAACCAGAATGGCCTTGGGGGCATAGCTCAGGTGGGGAAGGGGGGCAGTGGCTTATGCAGGTCCCGCAGTGGCACAGGCCAGCTCCTGGGGCTGCGTTCGGTGGCCACCCTTGATTTTGGATCCCCAGCACTGAGGGTTGATACTGCAGCAGCACAGGGAGGAGGCTGTGCACGTGCAAGCAAGGGCAGGGGTTCCCCTTGCTCGTTACCCAGATCTTGGCCTCTGAGGTGGAGCATGCCGAAATTGAGGGGAGAAGGGCACTTATTTAAAAGAGAAAGAAAGAAATGCCTCCATGCCTCGCATTCCCCTCCGTAAAGCGGGTACTGGCAGTTCTGACAGTGCGAGAGCTGTTTTTCATGGGCTGCGGGCACAGGGAGCAGGCACTGTTGAAAGAAGAGGTACAGTCACGCTCCGTGCTGGGTGCAGCAGGAGGCTGCGTGTTTCTGCTTGTTCTGGGCTACTGTGTAATTTCTAATCACAGTCTCATATGTTTCTTTACTTTAATTATCACTGGCAATCAAAACAGTGATTGACTCTAGAGCCAGGAGTAGCACCTTACCCGTCAGCTCTCCCTTCCAGAAGGTACGTTATCTCCGAATCGTTCCTGGTGCCATATATGACAGGCAGCCAAGACCCTCCTTAAGGAGGGTTTTTGCTACCGCATAAGCCCCTGAGGCTCAGGCAGCTTCCCGGCAGCCCCACGCAACCAGAGCCAACAGGCAGTTGTGTCCCACGAGCTGCTTCGCTCTGGTTACAGCTGCAGGACCCCCCCCAAGCACCCTCTTAGGCTGGCAGAGGCGTCTTGGGTGCCCCACGGAAGCAAAGCGCGGATTGCAAACTCCGTTAAGCAAAGGTCAAGCGAGGTAACCGGTGGGGGGAAACTGCTAGCGCCAACCTGTTCAGGCTCCTGCGGAGGAAGGAAACAACTTTGCCACGTCAACAGCAGTGGAGCCCGTGGTGCAGAGAAGTGGTGGTGAGCTGCTGCTTGCCTGGGAGGTCTGGTGCGGCAGTGGGGTGGTTTCCCGTGCCGTGTTTTGTCTTTTGGGAGCTGACTGGCTCTAATCTGCAAACACCCACCGTGTCGTCCACAGCCGAGGACAGGCGGGTTGTGAAGGCAGCTCTGCTTGTATAAAGAAAATACTCAGGCCTCGCTCACAGCTTCATGTTCCTGCGATCGTGCCAGCACCATCTCAGTAGACTTGTTGATACCACCACCCCGCCTATGTGCCGTGCTTTGTCCCGTTCTCCCCCCACCCCAGCGTTTCACCCGAAACCAAGCTGTAAAGTGGGAGTCCTGGCTTGGGGTCGGACCAGGAGCTGACGCTGAAGGGTGCCGTGTCCAAGCCCCGGTCCCTCCCCAGCCTGCCCGACTCCTCCAGGTGCTCTTGATGAACAGCCCCCAGTTCTGGCGGCACAGCCCCCCGCAGCCGCAGGTCTGGTGCTGCACGGGGACGGCGGCAGCTTCTGTCCCGGCTGGGTTTCCGCATGGCAAAGCCATGGCTCTGCCCTCCGTGAGCCGGTGCCGCCTGTGCTGCCCCTCTCCCCATCAATCTCCCGTCCTTACAGGCCCTGGTGTAAAATGCCCTTTCTGACTGGTACTGCTCTGTTGTCACAGATTCACATCATGAGAACACTGACTTGTGAGCTGGTTTGGGTTTTTTAAATATCTCTATTTTTTTTAGCCTGATGCTCATAGTGATCTGCAGTCTCTTTGCTGCCTTCAAGTCCCTTGTGGTTTCAGTTTTGGTACAAATGTGTTTAGATTTTAGCAAATTAAAGTTGGGGTGGGGGAGGGGGTACAGAGCATCTGATCAATTTGTATTTATTTATTTTAACATTTTACTAAATAAAACACAATAAAATCTCTTGTCTCCTTAGCCATATGTACCAGGTGGGGACAGTGGGTCCCACAGGCACAGGGGATGGCGCGGTGCCCGTAGAAAGTCCCCAGCCCTGGGAGGGGTTTCTGAGCCGTGGCTCTGCGTGATGGCTGCGGCACACTCCAGCTTGAGGCTTGCTTTCTTGGCAGGGAGAAGGGTGCTGCAATAGTAGAAATGAATTTTAGCTCTAAAGAATATCTCCAGGGGCTCTGACTGAGTGGTTGCCTCCAGCTGATGCTGCCCGGCAGAGGGCACATAGAGACCAACACCGAACTGGGTTTACTCCAGGTACCTACACCCTTGTCGGCACATTTTGGGCTAAGGACTGGCTAGGCTGGGAAGTGTTATCTGAAAATGATGGCACACAGTCCTCCTGCTGCAGGCATAGCAGCACACCTTCCAAAAAACCTGCAGAGCCAGCATTTCTGTAGCCACCTAGCCATCAAAGAAACGCCCAGGAGAGGCCTGCCCCATCCCAGCACTGTGCCACCACCACGTCTCTAGCAGAGAGCAGGCTAAACTACTGTCTAGATCTGATCTAAACCTGTCTTGTCTCTTAGTGTGGCAGCAGAGCGATACCGGCGAGCTTTGGCTGTAGTAAACCAAAGCTGTCTGCTAGGGACTGGTCGGGTCCAGGTGCACCTGGCTTCACAGTGATTAGCAATGTCTTCCCAGCCCTTTCCCAAATAAAGCCTTGACAACTCGCTCCTGGCATAACCCCCTCAGCCTCCCCGCTCCCCCCAGATGCGAGGCTGGCGGCTCAGGTGGCCCAAGAGCCAGTTTTTTTATTCCCAACAGTCTTGTAAAGCCAAGGCTGTTCACGCTGGTCTCGGGGATGAGCCGCAGCACCGCCAGAAGAAGAAACCGCATCTCTTCTACTTGGGTGTGATTAAACTGACTACATGCCTAAGCCATGAAGCCACAGGCTCCATTTAAATGGTGCAGGCTGCGCTGCTACCCGTGTTGCCAGCCCCGCTGCGGCACCGGGAACCGGCAGACTTGATCTCACCGCAGTCAGTGACCGCCAGCCATTTCGGAGCTGGCAGGGGACCGGCGCGCCTGCCGCTTGGTGCCACGGGCGTTTCTTTTGCCTGCTGTTGCTCCCTGCTCCCCAACCCTCCCACTGTGCCAGCCAGAAAGGGAAAAGGCTTCAAACGCGCCAGGCACTGCGGGGCTTGCTCTGCTTTTCCCCAGCCGAGGCTCAGGCTACCCCTGCATTGCTCTCCTCCCCCTGCCTTCCCCCCAGCGGACATGTGCAGGCTCCCAGTAGAAAAAATTAATAACCAGGCAGTTCTAACAAGGATGTGAAAAAGAATAAAAAAGCTTTAATTTAAAAATTAAATTAAAAAGAGAGAATAAGCAAGAGGCGCTTGTGCCCTTTCCATACCCCGCGCTTTGTATGGCTCCTCCTAGCCGCTCCCACCATGGACGGAAATCCTCACACCTGCACAGAGCTGGCTCCTGCAGCCCAGAGTAACGCTAAGGAGAGAACAGCGGTGACTGCAGCAGCAGGTGGCCTGGAGAGCCTCCAGGGCCACCAGCAAAATCATCTGGGAGGAAGAAAGGATTAAAAAAAAAAACAAACACCAAAAAAAAACCCCCAGACACCCTAATCATTTAATTCTTAGGAGAAAAGTATTAAATAATTTAAATAGCGTGAGGAAAGCAATGCATCCTCTGTGCTCCAGTGTGTGCTAGCGGTGGAACAGCGCCCGGCCAAGCTGCTCCCGGCACGGGGATCCCGCCACAGTGCTCAGCTACGGTCTTGTCCAGTGTCAACCACATCCCTGATTGTCGATGGCAACGTCTGAGCTGCCAAGAGCTGGGGAGGAGCAGGGTGGTCCCCTGCCACGAATTTCTCCAAGCGTGCGCTGGCCCACAGCAGCTGCTGTTTTGCCCATGGCGATGGTCCGCAGCCCTGCCCTGCGGGGCACTGCCAGCCCCAGGACGGGGCCTGTCACGGGCATGGTTGCTTCTAGCCTGTTCTGGGAGCTCGCTGCTTTGGGACAGCAGACAGCTTGTCCTGCTCTGGGTGACTCCCACACCACCAGTCCTGAGCCAACCCCACTGGAGACTTTGCATCCGTACGGATGGGGAGTACCACCAGTTCGCCCTGTTAACCAGCCAGCCTCTATCCAGGCTTGAAGCAGGTCTCCGCAATTCCTGGTGCTCCCTGGCCCCATCTCCCAGGGTGTTCTCTGAGCCTGCTCCACAAAGGATGCGAAAGGATGCTCTACATCCTCGTCTACATCCGCTCACCAAAGCCCCCGAGGGGTGTGCAGAGGACTGGGACCTGGGACCACAGGGCAGAGGCAGAGCAGGGTAAGGTACAGCTCCCAGACCTCTCAAGGAGCCAAGCCTCAAGGTGAGGCGAGCTAACGAAGGCCGAGAATCCACATCTGCTAAAACCTAAAACAGGGGAGGGAGGAGACCCGACCCCTGGCCCCCACCATGGGAAGGTTTCCCTGTAACACAGGAACGCCGCTGCTCCAAAAAAACCCCTTGGCCGCGCCACAGCAGCTCGACCCGCAGGCACCGCCTGTTCTCGCAGCTGGCATCTTCCATCTTCTCTACAGGCATCCCTTTGCCGGGCTGGAGAGGTCGTGCTGCCGGCTCGGTTCCCTCAGGTCAGGCTGCAGCGGTGGGCTAGCGCCCCGCGCCCACTGTCCCCGGGCGTCACAGGCTCCTCTCGGCGGTGAGGTACTTGAGCGCAGCGGCCCCGTACCGCCGCGACAGGTCCTGGTGGAACTCCTCCCGCAGCGTCTGGAGGCAGCCCCGGTACCCTGCGCTCAGGCGGAACTTGGAGATGTCGAAGCTGGGGGCGTGGGGCATGTGGATCATGAAGGCGTTGGGCAGGACCAGCAGCTCGTACTCCTGGGGGCAGAGCAGCGGCCCTTACTGGCAGCATCGGCTTGGTGGTACCAAGACGTCGCTGCCTGGCCAAGACCCCCCCACACACACAACACCCAGCACCCCCGTGGTGCCGGGAGCAGTCCCTCACCCACCTGCGCGTCCAGCTCCATGATGTGGGACACCTTGTTCCAGCCGAAGCCCACGAACCTCTGGTCGTACTTGGGGCAGTCTCGCCTCACTACAACGTAAGGCTCGAAGTCTGGCTGCCACGCCACGCGGTACGGCACGGTGGCCGTCCGCCACTTGGCATAGTCAGTTGGGGCATGGCCTTTCGGCCACACGTGGTACCTACAGGGAGGGATGGAAATGAGAGACTGGGGGGAGCTTGCAGCTCCCCGAGACAGACAGAGGACGCAGGGGATCCTCTCGGCCGGCTGCCCCGCAGCCCCAAGGCACTGGGGTACAAAACGGGCTTCTGCTGGGTGTGACAGCCCCGTCGGGACAGCAGAGCAGCTTTGGTCCCTACCTGAAGGTGTAGAGGGAGCCCATGTCCAGCATGGAGAGCAGCTCTGCTTTGGATTTGGGGAAGGTCAAGCGGTAGTGCAGGGTCTCGAACGCCGGCACGATGAGAGCTGCCTTCCTCTGGGGCAGCTCCAGCTGCTGGATGGAGTTCCTACAGCGGTAGGAGGGGTGTGAGGTCTCCCTGGCTGTCAGCCGTGGCCGCAGCCTCCTTCCTCAGCCCCTCAGGCCTGCCCAGAAGGGTATTAGTGGGTTTAGACGCTTTGTACTGGTGCCATGCAGGGGCAGGAGGAACGGGGCAGCCCTCACAGCCGTGGCTGCTTCCTCCTCAGCTGGCGTCTGACAAAAGCAAGGGCAGGATCCCGAGGCTGAACGCAAAGGAAACAGTTTCTGCGTGTTGAGAACTGCTGCCCACGGTGTTTTCTGCAAGCCCCTGTGCTTGGGGAGCCTGGCAGGCTGAGCAAGAGCCAGCCGGAGAAAGCCTTACCTGAGGTAATCGTAGAGGCCATACATAGGCAGGAAGTCAATGTCCGTCAGAAAGACGTATGGCGTCTGCGTGTTGGCCAAGGCCACGTTGCGCAGGAGGTTGATGGGGTAGAACTGCCCCTCCTTGTAGACTATGTGGTAGGCGACGTTGCGGCGGGCGCTCAGCACCTCCGAGGCCTGGGCGTAGCGCAGGAACTGCTGAGCCTCCGCGTCCGACATGTACAGCGCCAGGCTGATGGGGCCTGCCCAGTGTTTGCAGATGGCCTCCAACATCTGTAACCTGTGGAAGTGGAGGAGCACTGCGTGGGCAGGAGACCTGCCCCGTGGCAGCTTGGCCCAACCCAGCACTGGGTGCCCGCCAGCGAGCCGCACGCCAGCCGAGCGAGCCCAGTTCGGGGGGGGAGAGCGGGAGGAATTGCTGCTCCCGGCTTGGGGTGCTGCTCCTCACTGCAAAGCACCGGTGCGAGGGTGAGGAACCCACGTTTCGAGATCCCTGGTAGCTCCCAAGCTGTGGATCCGACGTCCCACCAGCCCCACCAGCAAGTACCTGTCCATGGAGAGCTGGGCCACGAGGGTGACATCGGTGGGGTTCGGAAGGGCCAGGAACTCGTACTGCAGGAAGAACAGGTGGACGCGGTGCTGCGTGAGGTGCTGCCGGCGGAAATCGTAGCAGGGATCATCCTCATCCAACTCCTCCAGTGCCTGCTGCAGCTGCAACGCCGCAAGGGTGAGGGAGAGCGGGAGCCCCACGGGGAGCTGGGGGGGGGCTGTGTGGGGTCTCTGCCCACCCACCCCACGCTCTGGGGTCGGGGGCAGAGTCACCGTCGCCCTCACCTGGTCACTGGGTGGGCTGGGGAGACTGGCACAGCCAAAGAGCTCCCTGCGCAGCAGGTTCCCATCGTACTCCAGGAAGGTCAGGTAGAGGTTGCGAAAGAACTCCACGTGCTTGTTCTTCACCCGCAGCTTCTTGGGCGAGTTCCAGTGGATCACCTGAGGGCAGTGGCGTGTCACCCCGCGGAGGCGGGGAAGTCAGCGGCACCCAGCGCTCCCCAAGCCCCCAGACCCCATGCTGACTCCCCCCGGACCTCCGGTGCATGTGCTGTCCTTCGGGCCCTCCCCAGTCTCAAAGGCAGCAAACCCACCCACCTTGAGATCCGAGACCTCGGTGTAGCACTGCTCCGAGCGAGTGTGATCAGAGAGCTGCACGTTCCAGAAGCAGGGGAGTCGGTACACCAGGGCTGGGTCCTGCTTGATCACCGCGTTAAAGATGTCCTAAGAGGGAGAAAGGCGAGTGCACAGGTGGATGAGGAAGACAGCAAGGCCCCCCCGCCGTGCCAGCAGAGCTGTGGGAACGCAGAAGGGCCGACCACCCTGGAGGAGGGACCGTTACCTGATCGGCCAGCGAAGTGGAGAGCATGCTCATGAGCTCCCGCTCCGCTGTCAGCCGCCACATCTGCTCCCAGCCCAGGCGACGCAGGCGGTCAAGCAGGAGCAGGATCACCCCTGGGTGCCGGGGAGGAGTGCACTGGGTCACCGAGGGAGCATCCAGCCATCGCAGAGCTGGAGCACAGCAGCCTGCGTGCCTTCGGCCCCTGGAACGTGCTGCTGCTTCTGCGCCCACCCACATGACCCCAGGGCGCTGTAGCAGCCCCCTCGTGCTCAGCAGTCTCTCCTGCCTCACCTCAGCCTTCCCCAGCCTCCCCGTGCCGAGTGCCGCCTCAGCTGGACGTGCCATCAGGCTGCAGGGTCCACCCCGGCAGCCCACACTCACCCGTGTTGAAGCCGCGTCCCAGGGCCGGCCACGGTTTGTGGTTTTTCCACAGGTTGCCCAAATACCAGTCGCTTTGGTTCTCCACCAGCCCAATCACCTGCTTGTCTGAGGAAACAGAGGGACGTGGATGCAGCCAGTCTTGCTGTAGGTTCAGAGGGCCCAAGCAAACCCACCGCCCTGGTGCTGTGGCAGACAGGGACCGCCACCCTGAGCCCAGGACCCCAGTGGGTCCCAGGGGCACCCTGTCCTCACCAGAAAACTTCCCAAAGACAGCCCAGAGCTCAGCGATGTCGGTGGCGAAGGTGATGTCGGTGTCCAAGACGATGACCTTGGAAAGGCTGGAGGGCAGCGCCTTGGTAAGCGTCAGCTTCATCAGCCCGTAGATGCCGGAGTAGTGCTTGTTGGGGATCCACGACACCTCCGGCTGCAAAGCGACACGGCCTCAGGGCTGGGCACGGCCATGCCCTTCCCCTGCCCGGGCAGGACGGCTGTGTGTGCCCGGCACCCCGCGCAGAGGAGGCCGGCAGAAGGGCACAACAGAGCTCTGGAGCCAGCCGAGCCTGGAGCGTATTTTCTCCAGCTGCACCGCCGGCAGCCACACATCTCTCCCCAGACCCTTCGGGTGCTCGCTGGCTGCATCACCTTCTCTTTTGCTCTCACCCTGGCCTGGCTTTTCCTCCAGCCACCAGAACCCCAGCGTTTCAGTGCTCGGTGGGTGACCCAGCTCTGCTCCAGAGGCAGCACTAGCCCAAGGGGCCTCCCCATCCCTCCAGCACCAACCCTGTGCCCCTCTTCTCAGCTGGACCAGCAAACGAGTCCAGAAAGGGGAGCAGGTGAGCGACAGACCAGCAGGAGAAGAGTTACTAAACCCCCTCCCGCTCGCCCCTCTCTGTTGCTTCCCTCAGCCCTCTGAGCACTGGGTTGGGACAGGGCAAAGGGGGGGCAAGCGCCTGCCTTCAAGTCATCGGCGTTGTAGAAGCTGACGTGGACGGAGGGCACCATCCAGGACTGGAAGAGCGTCTGGAGGATCTGGTGGGCCACTGAGTCCGTGATGAAGTGAAAGTGGAGGGGATTTTTCCTGCCAAGGGCAAGTGCAGCAGCACTCAGCATCACGGTGGGAGGAAAAGAACATGGTCCCCATCCCTCCCACCCCTGCCGGGGGACAGATGCCAGCCGAGGGGGCAGATGGAGACAAACCAGCTGCCTGGGGGAAACAAACTCCCCTCTGGCCCTCTAAGCCTCAGCAGTGGCATGGAGCGGGGGGCAGAGAGAGGCCCTAGAGGCCCTCTCCCGCAGCACTGCCCCCCCTGCAGCCTGCAGCAGCTGATCTGGGAACCCCAAACCAGCGGGCCTCTGGCACAGCACCTCCCCATTACCTGTGGAAGAGGATGGATTTCACCAGGGTGACCACATCCCGGCTCGCGTTGTGCCCAGCGCACACAATCGCAACGTGCAGGAGCTGCCCAGAGACAAATGGTGCTTTTTTTGAGACTGGACACACACACACACCCCCCCCCAGGACCCTGTCAGCAGCTCCCTGGGGCTGTGCTACAGGGAGAGGCTCCATAACCCAGCCCTTCCCCTGGGGAAGGAGACCCAGACAGAGGTGGGAGTCCCCTGGCTCAGAAGTGGGGACCAGGAGTCCGGCCGGCACTCCTCCTGTCTGACCTCCCTCTCTGGAGAAGCAAGGCACTCTCACCCACTGGCTGTGGCCCGTTCAGCACCACAGAGAGGCCAGATGAGGCCCCAGCACAGCCAGAACATGGGGTGAGCAGCGCCAGGCGGGCCGCACGGACATCCACGCTCAGCCAGGGTCCCGGCCTCCCATTCGACATCCCCTACCCACCGCGCCGGTGCCGTCACCCACCTCACACTTGTGCACCGTCCGCTGCTTGGGGCAGGCCGTGCGGTTGCTCCTCTCGCCCCCGGGGGGTTCCCCATCCTCGGCGGAGGTCCCCCACTGCGGGTTGCCGTCACTGCCTTCCGCCTGCACCTGGCTGAGCTGCAGGCGAAGCTGCTGGTTCTCCTCCTCCACCCTGCGCACCCGCGAAGCCAGCGCTTCCCGCTCCACGTCCCGGCTCGGCTGCTCGCCCAGGCAGGGCGGCAGGAGGAGGAAGCGGCCGTCTGCGGGAGAGACACGGGGGATGCCACGGGCACGGCGAGGCAGAGCTCGGCCGGCAGCGACCCATGTGGCTGGTGGGGCAGAGGCGCAACCGGGAGGTCCCGGCGTACCCCACGCGTGCCCAGCCAACGTCACGGCTCCGCTGCTCCGATCTCCGGGGATGCCCCGGGAAACGCAGAGCTCCGATACACCCGCAGCAACTTGCACGGCCGCAGAGCACCCGCTCCAAGGCCGCGGCCTCCCCTTGCCCACCCTCTGCGGTGGACCGTCCCTCGATCCAAGGAGGACCCACTCACATTCGAGGCTGCCCACGAAGAGGTAGAGCCAGGAGAGGAGGACGGCCAGGGTCACCGTGGCGAGCAGCAGCTTCAGCTTCACGCGCCAGGAGCGCAACATGGTGTGCCGGCGGGACGCGGGCGGCGAGGATCAGGTGGGCAGCCCGAGCCTGGCTGGCCCCAGCATCCTAGAGCCTGCGAGGGGCAGGGGAGCAGAGAGAGTGGGATCACCAGCAGCCCCACAGCCCACACCTGGGGTGCCTCCACACCCCCCCAGGCACGACGTCCTCCATCTCCCGCGCCCTCCAGGACACTGCCCGGGGCGAGCGCAGCGGTGAGACGGACACCCTTCACCTCTCCAGCGACAGCCTCTCCCAGCCAGCACCCTCCCAGTCCGTGCTGGGGCACCTGGACCCCCCCTTAGCCCGGGAAGGAGCCCGCCGAGCGACTTCACTCCAGCTCTGTTCCTTGCCCCTTGCCACCCCACTGGCGAAGGGCTCCCAGGGGAGGAGAGAGGCTGTGCCGGAGAGGTCCTCCCTGAGCCGGGTGGCTGGTGAAGGGCTGGTTAATGGAGCCTGCCCTTGAGAGGGAGCGTGGGTCCCTTCCCCACCGCCTCCGGAGGCCGACGAAGTTTGGTGGGAAAAAAAAAAAAAAAATCCCAAACGCTTCGGTGAAACTCACTTCCCCACGCACTGCTGGCTCAATCGGGGGGGTGCCGGGGGAACCTTGCTCCTGCGCCCACGCCTGACGTGGGGGCAAAAGGCCCCTTCTCCAGAGAGCCCTGCCCCGAGCTCCCAAAAAGCCAGGTGCCCGGGGGGGGGCGGACAAAGACCCCACAAAGCAAGAGAACACCAACCTCTGCCCGGCATCGCACCCCTGCCTGCCTGCCTTGCTGCAGCTCAAGATTGAGCCCCTGCCCTCGGCTGCAACATCTGGAGGCTCAACAAAAGCTGCCCGAGGGATGAATGGGCCGGATTAGGGTCTGCTCCCCCCTGCACACACACCGCCCCTGGAACCCATTGATGTGCAGATGCCTTATGGGGCCCCGCAAGCGCTTGGGGGCTCTGAACAGGGGAGGACATCACCCCGAGCAGCCCCTGGGGCCAGGGTGCAAACGCCTGCCCGCTGCAGCAACTGCTGGCAAGCTCGCCGGGATCGAGGGATACGCAGCAACAGGCTGGGGTTTTGCAAGGGTTGGGGCAAGGCCAGCCCAAGGGAGCACGGCCACCCTAACCCACTGGGGGATGCAGCCAAGCCCCCGTGGCAGCAGGCTCGGCACCCGAGCGCTGCACCCCTTTTCCTGGCGGACGAGGGGTCAACGCCAGCACCCCGCAAGCAGGGGCCCGGCGTTGCCCTGCTTTTGCCCTGCTTTTTTTCCGCTCGCCAAGCGCGGCCACGGCGGGGAAGAGGGAGCCGAGGCGTGGAGCGCACCAGGCCCAGGCACCCCTTCTCCTTGCCACGGCCATAAGCTGTGCTGGACCCGGCGAGGTCTTTGCCCGCTGCTGCCAGCCTGTCTCCTGTCCCACAAGCCCAATTCCACCCCTCCCGCCTGGTCTGGGCATCCCCCAAACTTTTTGTTGTGCTCACGACATGAGAAACGGGGGTGAGGCGAGACGAGGGAGGTCAGCCAGCGCCGAGCAGTCTGGCGAGCCAAGGGACACGAAAGGGACTTTAGCACGAACGAAGGGGAGAGAGAAGGAGGCGGCACACAGCAGCACCCCTCCTGCTTCCCGCTTGCCCCTGTGGCCCCTCCGGGGAGGTCTCACTGCGGGAACAGCACTTTGTCCCCAGCCTGCACGGGAGCACGTTACGGCGATTTGCGGGGACGGGACGGGACCAGCAGCGGGCCAGTTGCCAAAGACCCTCCTGGAGGCACCCAAGGGCTCCATCCACACACCCCCCCTCACCTGGCCGCTCACCTGCTCCCCAGAAAGCAATGTCCTTACCTGCCTTTCCCCTTCTCCTCCTTCCCCGGCGCCTTCCCAGCCGGCTGGCAGCCCACCACTGCTGCTCCCTCCCGTGTCTGCCGTTCCCCGTCGTCCTCCCTTTACTCCTCCCTTTCAGATCTGACACTTCTCCCCCCTCCTCCCCGCTCTCAAACCCAAGCTCCCCCCCAGCACGCCCCGCGCTGGCCCCCCTTTCTGAGGAAGAAAGAACAAACAAAACAGATTAAATTCGCTTTCCACTCAAGAGCCCCCAGCGCGAGGGGCACGGAGTTGCCCAAAGTAAGTCGGGAGGAATCAGCCCTCCCTCCAGCCCCCTTCCTGCTCCCAGGCCTCAATTATCCCTCTTTTGCTAAGGGAAGCGTAGGGATTATTTACCCCCTACCCAGCACCCACCTCCTCCTTCCCCGGGGCAGGTGCGGGAAGCTTCGTCCACCCACAGAGAGAGACTCGGGGGGGGCTTTGGAAGGCAGCAGAGGCCACCCCGTCTCCCTTCATCTGGCAGAGAGGGGCTGCACGGACAGCCCGGGATGCAAGTAGGGCGAGAGTGGGGTGCAGTCCTTGCTCCCCAGAGAGAAGAAGTATCAGCTGCCGTCTGAGCGCTAGCCCCTCACCTGGACAGGGTGCAAACACCAACCGTAGGCTTGAAAAGGAAAGAAGAGCTGCCCCCCCGGTTGCCCAGGCTTGCTCCAGCCCCACTAGCCCCAGAGAGAGGGGCTCCCCGAAGGGCGTAGCGTCCCCCAAACCTGCCCAGCGCACTGGGAACGAGCAGGACGGCAGCAGCAGGAGCGGGAGGCCGGAGTTGGGAATGCAAACTATGCGGAGACGGGCTGTACCTGCAGTTCACCCCCCACCCCTACGCCTGGCCCCCAGGGCTGGGGAAAGGCAGCAAGCTCCTGCCCGGGCCGGAGGGAAAGGAGGAGCCGCCCCTGCCCTCCTGCCTGCCTTGGTCTTGGAGGGAGCCTTGCTGGAAGATGCCTGGAGAAGGCAGGGTGTGGTGGGAGGAGGCCGCCACCGGCAGCAGGCAGAGGGATTAGGATGCAAACTGCCTGCCTAGCAATTTAGATGAAAAGTAAATTGCCCCCCACCCCCCCACCCCGTAACCCAAAGGCGAGCTGCGGCAGCAAGCCCCGGCCTGCCTGGCAAAGAGAGAGCGGCTCCTGCCAAGGCAGCCCCCCCAGCCCCAGGGCAGGGGCAGGCTGGGTCTCCTCCACCCAGGCAGCCCTGAAATCACTGCCCTGGGAGACGCGTTCACCTCCGGCTCAGGCAGCTCTCGCTTGCCCTTGCAGAGCCCCGCTTACAACAGGCAGTCGCTCAGCTGCGTTCTTCTGCCCTGCCCAGCCCCGGCACGGAGACGAAACCCCTGGGCTGCCCCTCTGAGCCAGCGGCTCCCCAGAGCCGGAGCCCTCCCTTTGCTCCCTTGCCTGTCCCAAGGGCCACATGGAGCTCAGCCCCGGGGACTCTGCCCCGTGGTATCTACCCCTGAGCAGCCGCGCAGGGCTTACCCACGCTCCTGGGACAAGCCCAGACCTCTGGAAGCCTCCTGCCCACAGCACTGCTCCAGGGGAGGAAAGCCCCTCCTGTTCCGACTGACCGCCGCCGCCTCTCCGCACGCTTTTCCTGGCCTCCCTATCTCGCTCGCTCCCGCAAGCGAGAGCCCAGCGAGACCCAGCCAGGCCCACACCAGCCGGGGCAGGAGCAGGTAGGCTGCTGGGGAACACAGGCGAGGAGAGACGTTTTAGGACGTTTATGGCAGCGGGAAGGAGATGGCAAGCGGGAAGGCAGCTACGTGGCCTCTCCTCCCCCATGAAAACGTTAAAGGCAACGGCACGTGGAGGGCAAGGCTGGAAGCGGCTCCCAGGCAAGGAGCACAGTGGGTACCAGCAGCCGCGGCACGGCACGCAAGCGTACCGGCTCTGCCCATCCTTGCAGCCATGGCCCTCGGCTTCTCCACCCTCCCTCCTCAGTCTCCTTGCTCGCGCCAGACAAGCGCAGCCAGCAGTAAGACGAGAGGTTTCCCAATACTGCCGGTTTCCGATCCCAGCGCGAGGGTGCGGGGCAGAAATGCTGTTCGCAGCAGGTTACCCTCCCTCCCCAACGTCCTCCCTGGGAGCAGCGCGGCTCCTGCTTTGGCAGGGATCGGGGGACGTGGCAAACGGGACAGAAAGAGGCACCCGGGTCCCCTCTCTTGCTGGGAGAGGCTGACGGCAGACACCGGGGAAGGGGCAGGCAGGACCCCGGTCTCTCTCGCCTCATGCCCGGCCACCCGTGCCTCCAGCGAGGACAGGGCGATAGCCAGGGGACAGGGAGTGTCGAGCCAGCAGAGCCGGGCAGCTGCACAAACACCAGGGGCACGCTCACAGCAACCTCTGAAGTGTGGGCAGGAGCCCAAGGCTGGCTGCCTGCCTGCCGGCCACCCCTCCATGCAGAGCCAGCCCTCGCTCCCGGGATGGTGCACCCACCTCGCTTGGCCCAGGTCCCCCCCCAGAGCTGCTCACGTGCAGGCACCCCACTCCTCCAGGATTCCTTCTTTTTGTAGGAGCACGGCTCAGCCCAACTGGCCTTCGCTCTCGCTGGCTCGGTGACTATCAGGTGAGCAGTTAATGTTTAGGGAGAGCTGGCAGTGGGAGCTTTCCCATCGCATCGGCACGTTTCCCCCAGCCCCACAAGCAGAGGAGGGGAGCAGCCCGGTTTTCCCACAGCACCGTGGCAGGGTGGGCATCTTAGCCTGTTGTCTCTCCTAGAGCTAATGTGCACCTGCAGAGGGGATGCTGAGGCACAGCGAGAGTGTCTGCAGGCCACAGGACAGCAGCCCTGAGGGGCACAGGGACAGCCGCAGCCTTGCTGCTCCCCCACTGTGTCCCCCCAGGCGTTAGAAGTGAAAAGGGGGCCGGGCTGTTCCCAGTGAAGAGCTGCAGGGCAGCCAGGAGAGGAGTGATGTTGCAGAGCCACGCTGCCTGTTGTCTCACCTAGCCATAGGCGACAGAAACTGGAAATCCATCTCCCAGGTCTCACTTTGGGAGCTGGGAGAGCAGCAACAGTTTAGCTGTCCTGCTCAGACTGCCTCAGCAGGAGCACGATACGGCAGCTTCCCGGGCTCGCAGGAGGTGAGAAAGGGCCTGACAGCCACGGCGAGAGCCGCGCAGCAAGACCTGCAACTGAGAAAAGGCACCGCACTTGGAAGAGAGGCAACTGGGGACCATCTCTTTTGTTCTTACAAAGAGATGGGAGGGGACAGGCTGGTTCCTCGTT